GATTCTGTTTAAGTTTTTGAATAAAATTGTTTTAAAATTAAAATATTTTCATTTTCTATATCATCACATCAATCAGATACTTCCCTTAGGAGTTTTAATACTTCAGATGTTTTATTTGGCAATGGACTCGTGATATTCCCTGAAATTTATCCTTGTGATATATAAATATATTCTTAAATGTTTTTTTAATTTAAAAAAAACCTTTTTATTTTCTTATGGCCATGCCACACAACTTGTAGAATCTTAGTTCCCTAACCAAGGATTGAACCTGCACCCTCAGCAGTGAAATCACTGAGTCCTAACCATTGGACTGCCAAGGCATTCCCTGAAAATATTCTTCATTTTTATTTCAGCCATAACCATTAACAGGACATTATGGCCATTCCTGTGACATATATGCTTAGCATTTTAACTTTTAATGGTTCAAGTTTTAAGCGCTCTTTGGGTCTAACAGTTATGGCAATAGTGAAAATAAGCTGCTCTATTTTGGGCTGAAATAATCAAATTGTTTTTCATTTTAGAAATGAAATTTTAAAATTATTTACTTTGTTTTATTGTTGGCTGTACTCAGTCTCCTGAGTGTGGTCTTTCTCTAGTTGTGGCAATAGGGACTACTCTTCATAGCAGTATGCTGGTTTCTCATTGCAGTGGCTTCTCTTGTTGCAGTGCATGGGCACGTGCAGGTTTCAGTAATTGTGGCACATCGGCTCAGTTGCCCCTTGGTATGTGGAATCTTCCTGGACCAGGGATTGAACATGTGTCCCCTGCATTGGCAGGCAGATTCTTATCCACTGTACCACCAGGGAAGTCCTAGAAATACTGATTCATGCATAACATAGAAAGATGCTCCTTGCTGTTGCCCTGCTATCACAGTATAAGAAAATTCCTGACTGGAGTCTATTTTTGATGTCATTTCAGAAGATTTGTAGTTATGATATTTCCTGAAAGCTTTAAGAAATACACCCAAAGTTTGTGGTCTCTTCACTTTATGTGCTTATCTCCATATTTTTCTATAAAACTGTACATGTATAAACATCATAGCTCAGTGCATTAGCAGTCCCAAGAATTTCTAAGCATCAGCTATAGGATCGAAGTAGAGACAATGGAACCAAAATAAAAGCAAACAGCCATGATGTGATTTGAAGATAATAATAAATGGGTGGTTCTCCTAATCTCAGGATGCCTCCCTGCCAAGAGATGGGGTCGTGAATGCTTGTCACACTTACTTGTCCCAGGAACACTTTCACCATCACAACATCATACAGTGTTTGGCTGAGAAGCTCAGTTTATGTGAGAATTTATATTAGCAAGTGATCTTACCTCTTGCTGCAGTTATTATTACACAGTATACAAAGTGAAACATTTCAATAGTGTCAACAGGCATGTTTACACACACACACACACACATACACACACACGGTTAGTAGAACAAAAAACAATGACAGTGAATCAGATTGGCAACTTTGAGTGATTTCAGAAGTAAAGTCAAAATCTTCCTTGTGGGCGTTCCTGAATAAAGCCTAAATCCAATTCCTGGTCACCCTTCCTGGGTTGCCCACTCGCCCCTGCTTTTGGGGTAAGTCTTGGGATCTGCACTCTTCTGCTGGCTCCGGCAGGCTTGTACAACTCGACCTGCCTTCCTCAACCCTAGACCCTATCTTGAGATGATTACTCAGTGCACCTCTCCTGAGTGGGGCCATCAGAATCCCTTCCTTAAGAACTTGGGTTTGAGACCGGTGGCTTCCAGTTCTCCGTCCTCCTGCCTTGATGTGGAAAGAACAAAGAAGCAGACACCTCTTCCAGTCCCTAATCCACTGGGAACCCGAGAGCCACACCTGTGTCTTTATCTTCATTCCTCTTTTGCGTGTGTGTGTGTGCTTGCTTTATCTCATTTGGCGTATGTGCTTACTGACGTAGTCCTAACTAGACATCCCCTTAGCAAAGGTCCCCCACCCCAGTGCTCCCCACCGCCACTTCCCCTCAGGAGTGAGCCTCAAAGTCAGAAATCCTTCTGTAAAAGCTGCATATTTTTTAAAGCAACGATGTGTTCCCAGGGCCTGTGCTTAGCCTATGGGTACAGGAGGGGATGCAGGTCTAAATTTAGGGCCCTTGGTGGCTTAGGACGGCTCTATAATGTCCTACTGCGGGGATGTAATTTTAATGACATTAAAAAGTAAACAGCTCGAAGTTGTGTATTAGTTATTAGCTTCAATTACCTTCGACTCCTAGGGGATGCAACCTTGTGAACAGGGCCGTGTTATGAATTCTGTCTCATGCACAGGCTCAGCTGGCAGAGGATACACCTGTCCTCGTCTGGATGGTGAGGCGACCAGCAGGAAGGTTGAAGCACTGCTCCTGGAGGGTACTGAGGGCCCCACAAGACACCTCGGTGGAAAAAAAAAAAAAAGATACCTTGGCAGACAGACCCCGAAACTAGCAGCTTCGGTGCCTCAGGACAACCTGGACAGCTCCTGCTCTGCTCCCTGGGATGTTGGCCATGGCCAGGTACTTCATGGGAAAGGCTGCCAGCCTTAGTCCTGGGGTGTTAGTTCTCCTCGTGACTTCCCTGATGCCCAAAAATTTTACACCCACTGCTTCTGCACAGAAAGTTTATAGGAAGTGAATTCTCCAGGGGGCTGTTAGAGAACCAGCTCTTACACAGGTGTAATGATCCATTGATAAAAGAATAAAAGCTAGAACTGCCAAGCTTGGATTCTGTTCACCTGAGCACCACCTGGGGCGTGGCCAGAGGAGGGAAGGGGGTGACTCCAGCACAGGGCTTGGGGGGAGGAAGTGTCACCTATGACCAGGTTTGATCTCACTTCTTTTACTTACCCCACACATACTTCTTGTTGTTCAGTTGCTAGTTGTGTCCTACTCTTTATGATCCTATGGACTGTAGCACGCCAGGCTTTCCTGTCCTTCACATTCCCTGTCCACACACATCAAGTGGTGCTTTGCAGAGCCACGTACTGTTCCAGGCTCTTTCAGCATCAGTCCTTTAATCCTCTTAACCACCCAGTGAAGGTACATGTTTGATGTTATAGCTTCCTTTTACAAACGAGGAAACCTAGGCAGGCGAGTTGAAGTAGCTGGTTCGGGGGCCTACAACCCATAATATACACATCCTGGAGAACTACTTCTCAATGGGTTTTGGGTCATTGACTCATTTAAATACTCATGTTTAAAGAGAAAAGAAGACAGGGACTCTTTCAAAGAGGTAAGGAATCATCCCCAAATGAATTTTTGTGTTTATGTGCAAATTTGCTTCATTTGATCCTCATTTAAAAATTTTTTTATGTATGGCTTCACTGGGTCTTGGCTGCTGTGCGAGGGATTTCTCTAGTTGCGGTGTAGGGGCTTTTCTTGTTGCGGAGCACGGGCTTTAGGTGCACGGGTTTCAGTGGTTGCAGCACATGGGCCCAGCTTTCCGTGTGGCATATGGAATCTCCCTGGACCAGGGATCAAATCTGACTCTCCCCACACATGGGTAGGTGGATTCCCAACCACTGGACCACTAGGGAAATCCCTGCTCTTAATTTTTGAAGGTTGCAGACTTATACAGGCTCCAACACTCACCTGGGCCAGACTCTAACGAAGGGAGGGAATTAGGCAGGTGTGCACAGTTGGGAGCATAAACCCAAGACCTCACATTTTAAGGGTTAGAGGAAGGGACCGGTTCCTCTCTGGAGATTTCCCAGGCTGCCACAAGGTTGGATGCCCTGAGGGTCCTTGATCAGCCTTCAGAGATCAGTGTTCAGGAAAGGGCTTTCGGTGGGAAATGTAACTCCGGAAGTGAGAGATGACTTGAGAACAGATATGCTAAACAAGTGAACATGCAGCCCATTATGGGACCTGGGATTTCTGACGTTTTCAAGCACGTGGTTTAAAACATGATTTCAGTAGACACCTCTCTGAGGGAAAGGTGACAGTAAGTTCCTTGTCACTTGAACTGTTAATGAGCTGGTAGGAAAGAAAACTCTTTTAGGCCATTCAAAGGAAGCCGGAGGCCACGCTGCAGGACACCTGAGGCTGGGAAGCAAAGTTTCTCACTAGAGCCTTGAAAACAAGCAAAACCGAGTCTGCGAGCATCAGCATTTATTTTTCGAGGAAGACGGCCCTGAGCTGTCATCAGTTCCTCACAGAAGCAAAGCGACCGCAGAAGATGCAGGATCCCTGACCTACACACTCATGAGGGGCCCTGAGCAGTAAATGCAAAAGGGTGGGGGCTTGGCGGCGAGGCCTCTGGTTTCGCACGGCGCGGAAATGCCTAGATACAAGAGATGCTCCTTTGCCCTCATCGCATCCGCGGAGTCCACACTGCACAGGGATGCCCCTATCTCTCCTGCTGCCCCTTCCTGGAAGCCCGCCTCCCCGCGAGTCCAGCCCTGGGCGCCGCCGGCTCGCGCGCTCCATCCCGCCTCCAACGGCAGCTGGGCACTCATTTTCCCGGCGGAGGTAGCGCGTCCGCCGCGCCGCGCGCTGCGGCCTACAAGAAGCGCTGACGTCGCGGAGGGTCGGCAGTCGGCGCGGAGCGGCCGGCGCGCGCGTGCGGCTTCTTAGGGGGGGAGGGCGGTGAGGGCACAAGGCCAGGCCCGCGAAGGGCGGCGGCCGGGCGGAGCCGCACCCTCGGAGAGAACGAGGCGCAGACGGGCGGGGATGGGGGGCGCCGGGGCCCGCACCTCTCCCCGGCCTTCGCGCGGCCCCGGGAGCGCCCAGTGACGACGACGGCGCCGCCCCTGCTTGGCAGCGCCGAGTCCGCTTCCTCAGGGAGCCCGCTTCGTCAGGGAGTCAGCGGCCGGCGGCGGCCGGCATGAGGAGCGGCAGGGGCCGGGCCAGGCCTCGCTGACCCCGGCCCCGTGCGGCGCTTCCCCGTTTCTGCCCGGCCTCTCGGCATGAACGCCCGCCCAGGCCCGGGGCCGCGGCTGCCCCAGCTCGGCGGCCAGCGGGCGCGCTCGGGGCCGGCGGGCCCGCGGTGCTGATCACCGCCCGCCCGCGCCTACCCCGGGGCGCGGCCATGGAGGTGGTGGGCGACTTCGAGTACAGCAAGCGGGACCTCGTGGGACACGGGGCCTTCGCCGTGGTCTTCCGGGGGCGGCACCGCCAGGTGAGCCCCGCCTGAGGCGGGGCCGCGGCGGCTGTGAGGCTGTGGCCGGGGCGGCACGAAGGCTCGGTCGGTCGAGCTCGGACCCTCCACAGTGGCGGAGAATTGCAGACCTAGTGGAAAATGGGCAGGTGGCCCGCGAGCCCCGGGCTTCCCCAACTCGGTGTCGCGTTTCCCCGCGCGGAGCCCCGACCGCCCACCCACCTCCGTTCCTGGGCTGGGCTGGGCGGACGGCCGGGAGTGAGGCGGGGAGACCCAAATCGACCCGAGAGCGGGTTCAGCTTTTTTTTTTTCTTTTAAAGTTTATGCTGTTTGGAAAACAGGCTCCCAGCAGGTTTTAGAATCTAAAGAATTCGGAAAGGCACCTCAAGAGTGGAAATAATCCTAAGAGAGTTTGGGCCAAGGGGCAGGTCTGAAGGGGGCTGGCCTGGTTGCTCAGCCTGTAAAGTAGTAAATACAATACTACCGAGTTTTCCTTTATCGTTTGAATAGCTTAAAACTCAAGGAAAAAAAAAAAAAAGCGAAAACGTGTAATTCTGCCTAGCTGTCAAATCCTATTTTCGGTTAACTCAACTATCTCCCAGTTTATCCTCCATAACTTTTAAGTAGTTGTAAATAAAGTGTGTCTTTTTTTTTTTTTCCACTTATTGCTAGTTACTACGGAGGCTTCATATTTATTTTTACTGGCTGTCTTGTGGGACATTAGCTTGCTACACCTTTGTAAAATCATTTTCCTGTTAGAAATTTGGGTTCTGTTTTTCCTAGTGCTGTTACATGAATTTGCTAAAAACATCTTTATGCTTATAGATTCTTTTTTCTTTGTTTCTCTTCAGTTGTTTCTGTGGAATAATTTTCAGAAGTAATTGTTTTTCCTTTCCAGAAAACTGATTGGGAGGTAGCTATTAAAAGTATTAATAAAAAGAACCTGTCAAAATCACAAATACTGCTTGGGAAGGAAATTAAAATCTTAAAGGTATGTTTCTTTATGGGGTATTTCATGTTAGATATACTAGATTAAAACTTAAATGAACACAAGATGACATCCTTTCCAGTTTGGGTAGTTGACCCCAAGTTTGAGAATGTTCACCTGTTGCTCTCATTTTTTCATGCTCAGTTTTTTGAAACATTGAGTACTTGCAAACTGTTTTTAAGAATAGATGTTTGTGGCTCTTGGCCAGTGCTTAGAGGGATTAGATGAAAACTGAGTTTAGCTTCTCATCATTCTTTTCCCTTAGTTATTGAGTTGTCCTTTGAGAAGAGGCAGGCATCTCTTGGAGGCTTCTTTTGTGGCTCAGATGGTAAAGAATCTGCCTCCTGTGCAGGAGACCCAGGTTCATTTCCTGGGTGGGGAAGAACCCCTGGAGGAGATCATGGCAATCCACTCCTGTATTCTTGCCTGGAGAATCCCATGGACAGAGAAGCCTGGCTGGCTACAGTCCATGGGGTTGCATGGAGTTGGATACGAATGAGTGACTACCACCACACACAGGCCTCTCTTACACATTATTTCTCTCTTCTGTTGATTCCTTTCTTGTTACAGTTAAATATTTTTTAGAGAACTAGGGGCATTTGTAATCTATTTTGCTTATAAATTGAGCAAAGTTATTTTCCTTGGAAGTTGTCTTTTTAGGTCACTTATAAGCAGAATTATCCAGGTGGGATGCTTTGAGGGGGAGAAAGGAGTCCATGGTCAAACAAATGTGGAAAGTCATGTTTACTAAATACTTCTTGGAGAGTCACAAAGCACTTGATTCATTATAAAGAAATTTGAAAAAATTATGCCGTGAAGAAATAGGTTTAGGTGTGTTTAATCCCAAAGTAATATAAACATGTAACCTTCATCTAACATTCATCAGAACTGCTATTCTGTGGACAGCTCTTGGGTAAGAATTACAGCTTGTTGAATTTTACTTTGTTTTCTTTTAGGCAAATCATGCTTTCTAAAAGCAGTTTGGAATTTTAGGCCTTTCTTGTTATAAATTTTGTATTAAATCTAAAAGACTAGCAGTAAAGTATGTGGTCATACTGACTCTGACCTTTATTTTGTAAATGAGAATGAATTAGGACAGTGAAAAAATATTTAAGTCCCAAGTAAAGTTTGATCAGGCACTTTTCTTGTTATTCTTCGTTAGATTGAATTGTTATAACTAGTAACAAAAGTGTGGTATACTAGAAGTAGTATAGATAGATATAAATGTGTGTATATACTTTATTTGCATATTGAAATATTACAATTCTTAGAATAAATACAAATATTTTGAATTCTCAATTTTCTTAACAGGAACTTCAGCATGAAAACATTGTAGCACTCTATGATGTTCAGGTACCTTATTTTTAATTTTCAAAGAAATATATGTATGTTGTTAATAACTTAATAGAAATTTTTTCTATTTCATACAAATTCAAATGTCATCATAGAAATAGAAAATTTGCCTTATTGTTGAAAAGATATATAGCTTGAGTTGTGTGTTTATTAAGAATTTGTGTAAAACAGCATAGGGCAAAAAGATAAATAATGTGTTGCATAAGTAAACTTACTGACAAATGATAATATGCTACATGCTACAATAGTGTTGTTTTAGGTCAAGTAGAGAAATACTGATGCCAGATCTGGCATTTCTGTGATGAATGTAGAAAGGACTATTTTGGGCTATTGAAAAATCAACTAGAGCTTTTTTTCTTATTGCAAAAGCAATATTTGCTAATAGTGGTGATATTAGACAATACATAGCATGATAACAGGGAAACTCTGCAGATTAATCACCTGGATTTGTTTATGTTGATTGCCATGGCATACAGTAGAGTCGCATTATATTTGGAGGTTGGGAAGGCTGGATTCTGAAGTTACGTTCTAAGCAATATTTCTGTATAGTCAAAATCACCCTTGGAAATCCTTTTCAAAAGCCCAAGTTTAGAGAAAATTCCTGCTTATTGGGTGGAGCACCAGAGCAAGTAGTCGGCTTGTATTTAGGGGCCATATTGTGTTTTAAAATCCTTGGATCCTAGAATCACACTTGCTAGTGGTATTCACCTGGCAGGAACTCCAGGGGTCTGATCCTGAGGGGCAGTGCATTCAGCTTTTCCCTCCACTCCTTCCACAGCCGACCCAGGGTGCTTGATGGACATTACTCTGTTCTCTTGTTTCCTTAGTCTGGACAGTGGAATTCCAGGAAGTAAATGAGCGTGTTATGTGATTCTGCTATATATATTTCTAGCTAAAACCATTTCTCTATACACTTGCATTACTCAAATTCAGTCATTTTGTGAGGTTCGATGAGGTGAGGTGCTGTTTGCCAGGCGTTTCTGAGTGCTAGGAACAAAGCTGTGAGTAAAACAGTCCTTGCTGTCAGTGTGCTTAATTTTGGTGGGCTATATGTCCTTTAAAAAACAGAGTCATTTTTCATGTAGTCATATCATACAACAAAGTATTTATTTAACTGGACCCAAGTTATAAGATGTTTAGGTTTTTCCCATTACAAAAAAATGCTCCAAGGATAATACATACCTTCCGAAGATATCTGATTATGTCTTGTGAGTTCAGTTTCTAGAATTGGGATTACTGGAACAAGTAGCATGAACAGGTTTGAAGTTTTTGATGTCAGTGTGTGATCTCCAAAAATACAACAAATTCCATATACAGAACATGTATACTCTGTGGGTATATTTTATTACCTATTTAAATAGATATAATTGATTCCTTCATTTGAGAAATTCAAAGCAGCCTAGAAAGAAAGGGGGAAAACGGTTAAAGTCAAGACTAATCTGATGTCACAATCCCTATTGAAATGCTGGTTCTCCTCAGAGCTGTTTGTGTAGTTGTCTGAGTCTCTGTAGATAGAGGGCACCACGAGGTACAAGTCAGTGCCTTGTGTAAAAATTAAGTAATATTAACTCTTCATTCCCTCTCTTGAGAGGTACAGAAAACGCTGTCAATTTCAGAGTCGATTTTGCTTTCAGGGTGGAGAGTGTAGTTAAGATTTTTGTCTGTCGGAATGAAGAATATTTTAAAGTACTGACTTTGGCTGCAGAATGAGATATCATTAGGGAGAACATGTTCCAGAAACCATAACTGTGGAACAATTGGAAATATCAAGGTGACTGCTGAGAAATGAAATGTTTACTGTTTTGTGCATTGTGTACTCCTGGAATTAATTTATAAAAGTAGACTTCAGAAGTTCTTAGTCAAATGAATATAGTCTTGAGTGCTTGGCTGTTGAGTAGACAGAGTTTAGATTTGCTCGCTGGATTCTGATCAGGGGTACAGGGTATGGGGTGCAGAGGCGGGTGCAGTCATTTTATCCACTGGAGACGAGCACTGTTCACACTGGCCGCCACTTGTGGAGGTCTACCTCAGACTTACGTGCACTGTGATGAACTGAAAACTTTTGATATTGTAGTGCTCAGGTTTCATTTTAGATGACACTTAAACACATTTTCCCTAATTACAAAAGTAATATATGCCCACAGTTTGAATGGGGCTTCCCTGGTGGCTCAGCTGGTAAAGAATCTAAATACCTGAGTTCTATCCCTGGGTTGGGAAGATCCAGCATTCTGGCCTGGAGAATTCCATGGACTGTGTAGTCTATGGGGTCGCCAAGAGTCAGACACAACTGAGCGACTTTCACTCACTCACAGTTTAAATATTCCAACATTATCAAAATGAATAAATTAGAAAAGATATGGCCCTTCGCAGAGATAACCACTGTTATATTTGTTTTAGAGTTTTCTAAATGCATATATGAATCTATAATCATGTAATACAGTGGGAGGCTGGGCTGGAAGTCGCATGTCAGCTTCCAACGCAGATGCAGCCTCTGAGGAGCCGACAGGAAAGACAAGAGTGAGGACCTGGAAGAAGGGATGTGGCAGGAGTGCTGGGGGTGGAGGGAGTGCTGGGTGATGTAGGGAGGGTGGAGGGCCCACATGGGATGGATCTCTAGTCCAAGGACGGTGCAAAGCCGTTTGGAGGGTGATATTACGACTGCTTTTGAAAGATACATATCTTTGAGTATTTTGGGCATGAGGTAAGTATTGTCATCTGGGAATACTTCTCTGCATGAATGTCAATGGTCTGGAAATGTCTACCTCTTGTTAATTTTTAGTATGGTGAAAAAGAGATTCATTCAGTACATGGTGCTGGCAAACTGAGACATCTGTCCTCATCATTTTTCCAAAATAATTTTCAATGACTTAAAGGCTTAAATATATAAAATAAGCTGTAATGATCTTAGAATAATATTTATATGACTATATGTAATCTAAGAGCTAGAAAGGTATTTTATTTATTTTTGCTTTTGGCTGTGCTGAACCTTCATTGCAGCGCACAGGCCTCCCTGTGGTGGCTTCTCTTGTTGCTGAGCACAGGCTCAGTAGTTGTGTGCAAGGGTTCAGTCGCTCCGCAGCACATGGGCTCCTCCCAGACCAGAGATCAAACCTGTGTCCATCTCATTGGCAGGAGGACTGCCAACCACTGGACTACCAGGAAAGTCCCTAGAGAGGTGTTTTAAATCAAGATAAACTCAGAAGCCATAAAAGTAGGGACATAAAAATTTTTTAAAACTTATATGTCAGATAATACTGACAGCCATAAATGGATGAAATTTTCATAAACAAGTAGAAAAAGGTAAATCAAGGTGACAGATGTCACTTCTCACCCTTCCTATTTGCAAAAGTAGGAAGTGCAGTAATTCTTACTAGTGTGATTGGGGAGGAGATGTGTCACTGGTACAAATGTCAGTCTTTAGATTGATTTTTGGAGTGCTGTGTAATGATACTTTGCCTCCATACCCTGAGGAAGAGTCTGAGCATTGCAGCCCAAGTACTCCCGGTAATGCAGGTCAGGGTGTGTTCTTTCTCTGTATGGGTCCTGCAGGGGCTCCTGTTTTTGTGAGTGAAAGACAAACCCCGCTATCCCCAGTTTCCCCTTCTCTGCGTGTTGCTGCTTCTGTTATGGCTACTTGGGCCTCCTGTGGTTCCTGGCCACTTCCGCCTTTCCCTTGTGCTGAGGACCTCCTTCCTGCAGGGAGATTATATGTGCAGATGGATCGCTGTGTCTGTGTTCTGCACAGGTACACCTCAACCTTCCTTATGTCTTCACTCAAATGTTATGTTTTCAGGGAGCTTTCTTTAGCCACCCTAAATGGAATTGCAGTCCCCTCCCCAACCCTGTTTCTCCTCCTTCCCCAAAGCACCTGTTATCTTCACCATGCTCTGTCTTCTTATTTCTTTTGTTTGTTGACTTGCTCCTGACCCTCCCTTCTTAGAATTAAAGATTGGGGAGAACAGGATATTCAGAACTCTGCTGTTTTACTGCTGTACCCTCGGGGCCTGGACCAGTGTCTTGTTTATAGTAGGGAGTTAAAAAGTCTGTCAGTGAGAAGTATCTGCCACTGTTAGAGCTGCACATCCTTGACTAAACAACCCATAATCCTGGACATCTATCTGAGGGCCATAAAAGCCTGAGAACTAGGATGTATGTCCAAGAAACAATACAGCTTTGCTTATAATGGCCCAGACTGGAAACAAATGATGTTCCTTGGTAGGAAACAGCTTAAATGGCGATACAGTCATACGGTGACTTGTGCATATGCATTTGACTTAGATGGATTTCTTTGGTATATTATTGAGTGAGAAAAGCAAGATTCAGACATTTATATATGATATCCCATTTTTTCAAAGTAAAGTGTGTTTGTGTGTGTATGTTTAGCTTCTCATTGTATGAGTAGGAGAAGGGTATGGGATTACATACCAGATGTAAACATTGGCCAGCTGGAGAGGTGAAGATAATTAAGCAAAAAGGTGGAAATGTATTATATTACAGTTAAGAATCCCAGCAAGTACATGCTTCCTTTAGGTGTTTGTGGGCCAATAGGACGAAGCATCCCAGACCATGTGTTCCAGAATTGAGACTGCACGTTTAGTGTTGGTCTTCCTTTAGTTCTTTCTGTGAATAGACTTGAACTTCTTGATGACTACATTAGCCATTAGTGTCATTGAAGCTGAGATGCTTATGTCAGTGTTTAGGGGATTTTAAATTTCAGTTTCTAATGGATTTTGTGATTTCATTTTACTTCTTTAAAATGAATACATATACTATTAACAATCATTATTTTAAAATTTTTGCTTAATTTTTTCTCTAATCTAGACAATGTATAATATGTTTACTTTTCAGGAATTACCCAACTCTGTGTTTCTGGTGATGGAGGTAGGTAGTATCCAGGTTTCTTTTTAATTTTTTTCTATTGATAATACATACCTTAAAATTGACAGTAGGTTATTTGAAATTTGAATTAATAAAGTTTCAGTGATTTAGGTTCTATTTTATAAGGAATATAAAATTTTAAAATGTTGATTCTATGAGTATAATTTTTGGGGGACTGGATTTATATTATTACAAATGTATTTTTAATTAAAATTAACTGATAGGACTTGCATGGTGATCCAGTGGTTAAGACTCCAAGCTTCCAATGCAGGGGATGTGGGTTCGATCCCTGGTGAGGGAACTAAGATACTATATGCCGTGTAGCCAAGTTAAAAAAAAAAAAAGTTAGCTGATAATGAATTGAATTAATCTTGAATCAGTGTCTTATTTTAATTACTTTTTGTTTTGTATATCAGTATTGCAATGGTGGAGACCTGGCAGATTATTTGCAAGGTAATTTTTTGACTTTGTCAGGGGTCAGTATAGTACTATAGTGTGTTTAATCTTCATTTACTTCTGAAATATGCTACCCTTGTTTTCTGTACATGTATAGAAACATTCAGTAATTATTTGTGTATGTTTAATTATGGTTGCTTTGCTGACTGACTGTTGTGTGTTGTGGTTTTACTCCTTTACTTGTATATAAGTACTTGTTTATGTGTGGCTTTCTCTGACAGTTTGAGAGGTCAGGCCTCTCACCATCAGAGAAAAACCAACAAAATTTCTCTTCAAAGGATTCTAGTTGGGGGCTGGCAGTGAACCTTTAGTCTCTTTCATTTCCTTCAAAAAAAAAAAATAATAGTGGGAGAATGTATCCTAGGATGTGTTTATTAACATGAATGTTACTTGTAAATTTAAAAAGATGTCGTAAGGGATTCAGGGTAACCGTGACATTATTTTGTGGCATAGAGGTAAGGTTTTAGTACTAGATGTTGCTTGAAATTCCATATATAAAGTGTGTTCGTGTTCAGATCAAATTGTGTCCTCCAAAGTGCTTTTTAAAGGACATTAGATGAAGTCAGCACCTACTTGTTCACCCTTGAAGATATAGGGAAATAGGCAAAACAGACAAACAAAAAAGTAGTAAAAAGTTCATCTCTCAGCCTAGAACTAGGTCATGGCAGTTGATGGTAAAAGCACTAAGACATCAGTAGATACACTCACAAACGGTGTGGGCAGTTTACAGAAGAGAAGCAATGTATTCTAAATGTTAAGATAAACAAGGAACAATTAAAAATGAGATTTAAAAATCTTTAAAATATAAAATATTGCTGAGATTTCGAAAGCCATGCAGAAATAACATATAGAACACAAGTATTTCTCCTGCTCCCCATAGTTAAAGAAATTCTAAATACAATTGAAGCTCCTGTGGGCCCTTCTGTAGTCCTACTCCAGTCCCTCCCACTGAGAGACCGCCATTATTCTGAACTTGGGAGGTTAGTCCATGTGTGATTTTTGTATTTTTCCTGAGATTCTCTCAAATTATGTCAGTTTGGTAAAGATTTTTCAAAAAGTCATTTGCTAGTTGATAAAATTCAGAGATGGGCACTTTTTTCTCTATTGGAGGAGAGGAGTTGAAGCTAGAAGACACCTTGCTTTTACCTTCTGTTAACCTCTGAATCTTGAGATCTTTGACTTCTTATCCATCCAGGTAAAAGCCCCTTTCTCCGGGGTCAGGCTGAGGGACACTTAGCTATTTCACTTCCTTGTCGGAATATCAGTGTCCTTTTCTAACAGAAAGCCTCTGGGCTGACATACGTGCTGATGCTGCCGTAGCAGATTTGTTAGCTTCCTCAGCAGTCTGTATGTGATGTTGAACTCTGCTTTGGATATTCCAGATCAATGAAGAGCTTACCTGAATGTTGGAGTCAGACAGGCAGGCTGGTTTGCGGTAGTTCCTTTGTTATGTCACTTAATTGCTGTGTGATTCTGGTCATACTTAACCTCTCCCCTCTCTACCACTTGAAGAGACGTGTCGAATAACTTAGGTCCTCAAGGCATTGTCTAGAGATGTACTGTCCACTACAGTAGCCACTGACCACATAGGGCTGTTGAGCTATTGAAAGGTGTGCTGTGATGTGCAACACACGTTGCGTTTTGAAAGAAAGAGTGATTATATCAAGATTTTTAATGTTGATTATAGGTTGAAATGATATTTTGGAAATACTAGGTTAAATATTATTTCACCAGTTTCTTTTCATGTTTGAAAATGTGGCTACTAGGAGATGTTAAGGTATGTATAAGGCTCACATTATAGTTCTGTTGGGATGCACTGATTAAGAAGATCTGTCAGTCAGAGGTCTGGAGCACATAATGCCATTAAATCACAAGACACCCATTTAGTTCTTGTATTTGCTTTGATAAATAAAGTGCCTTTCACATCTTCAAAAGATAAAAAACAAATTCTATTGACTGCAAGTTAAAATAAGGGAAATTTTGAAGTAATTGGTAAGTTGTACTTTTAACATTATTTCTAGCAGATACGTTCAGTTTGGCAGCCATGGCTGAGTCTGCCGTGTCAGGGCCAACTGCTCAGGAGTTCATCCATCTGAGAGTTTTCATGTTGGCTGTGCTTTTAAAATGTTAAGCTTTTACCAAGAGAATTTCAGTTTATGGGATTGTGTTGAGAGTGGGCATTCCGTGTTCATAGAAATACGTGAATTTCTACTGTAGTTTGTGCCCAGAAACAGCCTAAATGAGATCATTATTTTTTCTGCACAGAAACAGTGTTAGAATTTGGTCTCTGAATCAGATAAAGTTTTGTGTGTCATGGGGCAAAGATACACGTTCTAAGCAGCTGCAGTCATTTACAGTGGCAAAAGTTTTCTAAGCCCTAAAATTAAAATGTAAATGAATGAGATGGAAAAAATGGTACCGTCCATTTTCATTGCTTCAGTGTAATTTAAAATGTTACAGCAGTAAAGCTCCAATTGTTGATTTGACCCTCCCGCTAATGTGCAGTCATCGTCACGTCCATCTGCAGGAAAGTATCAGTAGAGCTGGGAGAACCGGGAGAACGTACTCCAGAGTTTAACAGTGTTCATTCATCTCCAGGGAGGGGAGCAGGGAACCTTTCACTTTTTGTGTGTTATAGTGCATTTGGATTTTTCTTTTTAATAGCACGAGGAAAAGAACTCCAAAGAATTTTTAAAAGCAGATGAAAATAGCTCTCAGAAGAAAGTATTTGATAATTTTTAAACCATGGGGATTTAGTTGATTTGAAGATACTCAGTTCAGTTCAGTCGCTCAGTTGTGTCCAACTCTTTGCGACCCCATGGACTGCAGCACACCAGGCCTCCCTGTCCATCACCAACTCCTGGAGTTTACTCAAACTCATGTCCATTGAGTTGGTGATGCCATCCAACCATCTCATCCTCTGTCGTCCCCTTCTCCTGCCTTCAGTCTTTCCCAGCATCAGGGTCTTTTCAAATGAGTCAGTTCTTCGCATCAGGTGGCCAAAGTATTGGAGTTTCAGCTTCAGCATCAGTCCTTCCAAGGAATATTCAGGACTGATTTCCTTTAGAATGAACTAGTTGGATCTCCTTGCAGTCCAAGGGACTCTCAAGAGTCCTCTCCAACACCATAGTTCAAAAGCATCAATTCTTTGGCGCTCAGCTTTCTTTATAGTCCAACTCTCACATCCATACATGACTACTGGAAAAACCATAGCTTTGACTAGGTGGACCTTTGTTGACAAAGTAATGTCTCTGCTTTTTAATATGCTGTCTAGGTTGGTTATAACTTTTCTTCCAAGGAGCAAGCATCTTTTAGTTCCATGGCTGCAGTCACCATCTGCAGTGATTTTGGAGCCCCCAAAAATAAAGTCTGTCACTGTTTCCACTGTTGAAGATATTAAGGACATAAAATGTCACTTATTAAAATGATTTTAAAAGTAATATTTCACTTGTTCAGTGTATTAGTGTTATTTCTGTCTTTCTTAGTCGTAGGCGCATAAGAGAAGGTTATAAAGAACATGTTCTAGAGTTCTATGGTCAGAAGTATGTTCACAGAGACTCTAAAATGGGGTCAACCTAGGGATTGAACCCGGGTCTCCTGCATTGCAGGCAGATTCTTTACCATCTGAGCCAAAGAAGTCAAAATGGGGTCACGGATATTAAATACCTAATGTAGATTCAAGGAATTGGACTTTTGACTTTTAGATCCATTGTAATAAAATACATATTTGTGTACTGACTACCTTGTTTCCCTGGTGGCTCAGATGGTAAATAATCTGCCTGCAGTGCAGGAGACCCAGATTTGATCCCTGGTCGGGAAGATTCTCTGGGGAAGAAAATGGGAACCCACTCCAGTATTCTTGCCTGGAGAATTCCGTGGACAGAGGAGCCTGGTGGGCTGTGATCCAGGGGGATCACAAAAGAGTTGGACCAACTGAGTGACTAACACTTTTTCCACTTTACCTTTGAGTACTTATTACATGCCAGGCGTTTTCCTTAAGTCTTTATGATTAAATGTGCTGTCTTGTTTGAGTGTTGCAACAGCCCCATGTGGTTAGTCTGTTTTCAGTTTTCTGTAGATGAGGAGTTGGCACAGAGGGGTCAACTTCCAGGGCTGTGCAGTGGGGATTAATAAGTGCAGGAACTGGGATTTGGACAAAGGCAGCCTGACCCCACACCAGGCTCTGTGAACTGTTGCATGATCTGGTGTGCACATGAAAGCATGGCTGTTTGCTGGATAGTGACTACTCTCCAGTCATGTTCCCACCACCTCTTGGTAGCAGTGAAGATGTGGCTTTCTTACAGGTGTCTTTAGTTAGGAGAGATGCCCCTGGGAGATGAAAAGGAGACAGGTGTGGGCCACAGCTCCATGACAGGTCCAGTTGGGGGCAATGTCTTAGTCTCACCAGCCAAGCATATCACCTGTTTTTAATTTGTATTCAGGTAGTGTTTGGGGTTAAATATGGACATTTATCCCAAGAACTTGATGTGAAGAGGATTTATTTTTGGCTTGTGGAGGAGACTCGCATTTGCTAAGCATCTGTTGTCATGCTCATTCTTCCTAGTAAAAGTGGGAAAAGAAAACCATAAAGGGACACTGATGAGAATGGAAGTTGTGAACATAAATCAGTTCTCTTTACAACAGGTTGATTAAATTTTTTGAGATATTTGATATCTCTTCATAGACTTAAATTGTTACGGTAAAAACAATGAAAAAAAGTAAATTCCCATTCCTTACTCCCACAGATGAGACTTGATATTGTAGGCTTAAGTGTTTATGGAACACCTTTTCTCCCAGCTAAGGGCACACTCAGCGAGGACACCATCAGAGTGTTTCTGCATCAGATCGCAGCTGCCATGCGCATTCTGCACAGCAAGGGCATCATCCACAGGGACCTCAAGCCCCAGAACATCCTGCTGTCCTACGCCAGTCGCAGGAAGTCCAGTGTCAGTGGTATTCGCATCAAAATAGGTATATGGCTATGTTGTTTCACTCAAAGAACACTTTTGAGACTCAGTATTCTTAGGTAATTTTAGTTCAGTGAGAAGGATGAATTTTGTTGAGACACTTAAGATTTTTGTTCTGTTCACTGAAGTCCATTTGGATGTGGGGATCCTTTACGTTGTTGACAGCAGGTGCTAAATTTCAGATAAGGCTGACGGGCCTGCACCAGGGCTCCGAGTAGGAATCTCAGCAGGAGATGCTTCTCTTTGTCAGAGGGAAGCTAACACACTGCATTGCTGGCAGCAAATTAATACCCTGATTCTTCATAGCTCATGGGATTTTAACCTAAGGGATCTGAGAGACCATTTAGTTCAGGCTTCTTGTTTGCAAGGTGTTTTGGGTTTTTTTTAGCCCACTCAAAGAAGACATGGCTCAGATGGTAAAGAATCTACCTGTAATGTGGGAGACCTGGGTTCAATCCCTGGGTGGGGAAGATCCCCTGGTGAAGGAAATGGCTACCCACTCCTGTATTCTTGCCTGGAGAATCCCATGGATAGAGGAGCCTGGCGGGCTATACAGTCTATGGGGTCGCCAAGAGTCGGACATGACTGAGCGACTAACACTTCAGCACTCTCAGGATTATTTGAAGCACTTCATAATGCTAGATTTTTTTTTTAAAGCTGTTCTCATGGTTTTTGGAAAAGCAACTTTTTACCAGTATTTTAAGAAATCTTACATCTGGTATCTGGAGGAGGATGAAAACAGCTCAAACTCTATACCTGGTGGTGGTATTTAATGAGAGCTTTATTAATGAATCATTTACTGTTATTGGCATTTTCTCTTGCAAATTGTGGAACTCCCTTCTTGGTTACAAAACTGGCAGAGCAGTGACTTGTGCCATTGGTGGCTACTACCATTATTTAACTAGTTGAAAGTGAGGTGGCTACTTCTTTCTTTGGTGGACAGTCTAGGTCAATAAGCTTTAGTTTCTCATAGTTCTTTTGTGACCGCTTGTATCTTAAAGAATCATATGATCTCTGTTATGTGTGAGCAAAGGTATCATTTGACTTTCTCCCTTTTATTTTGTGAAACAGCTGATTTTGGTTTTGCTCGTTACTTGCATAGTAACATGATGGCTGCCACGCTGTGCGGGTCCCCAATGTACATGGTGAGTGTTTGCATCCTTTGTGTTTACAGCAGGAAGCATTGGAATTTAAGTATAAAGCTTGTTTCCAATTAAAATGTGATTTTTATCATAGTCTGAGTTTTTATTATTTATAAATGTTAATTATATTACTGAAATGCTGTAATACAGATGTCTTTCGCTTTAGCCTGCTGCTGCTGCTGCTAAGTCGCTTCAGTCGTGGCCGACTCTGTGTGACCCCATAGATGGCAGCCCACCAGGCTCCCCCATCCTGGGATTCTCCAGGCAAGAATACTGGAGTGGGCTGCCATTTCCTTCTCCAATTCATGAAAGTAAAAAGCGAAAGTGAAGTCGCTTAGTCGTGTCTAACTCTTAGCGACCCCATGGTCTGCAGCTTACGAGGCTCTTCCATCCATGGGATTCTCCAGGCAAGAGTACTGGAGTAGGGTGCCATTGCCTTCTCTGCACTTTAGCCTAGTGGACTATAAAAGTCATCTTTGCCCATTGGTATTTATTTTTTAACATGATTAGTTATTATGGTAGAGATCTTCTATTAGATTAAATTAGAAATAAAAATTGAAAAAAAAATTGATGAAGTATGGTCATGCTATACATGATGTATAATTTCAGGAATACTTAAAAAAATCTTTTGGTACTACAATATTGTAAAGTAATTAGCCTCCAACTAATAAAAATAAATGAAAATCTTTTGGGGCATATCTTCAGCTATAGGATGTAGTCATCCTTTGCATGTTGTCTTTTGACAGGATCCCTATACTATAGAAATGTTTCCCATTTGTGTCACATGTAACAGCTGTAAAATCTTAACTTTTCTTCTTTATCCTCTCCTGTGGTTACTGTCAGGTCTAATAGGGTGAGGCTGTGACACTTCTGAACTAATGTGAGGTGGTAAACCTGGAAATACTTTGATTCTGGAGCTTCAGAATCCTGTGAAGTAAATGAACCTACTTCAGTTTGAATTTAAAATGGGTTTATGTTCAGTTAGGGTTACTTCTAATATAAAATCAGCTTTGAGATCAAGGGAACTAGTACTCAAAGTTCAAAAAAATTTTGTGTTAGATTTACTTTTACTTGATCATAACCGTACTGCTTATATAATAAATCTTATAATCTATTTAAATACTACTTTGCACTTCTTGAGTGTGAAATCAGTTCAGTCTTGAACTTACAGCCTTGAGGATAGAGAGAGTACTTGGGCTGTTTATTAAAGGAAGTTGACCCAGTAAGAAATTTACTAGGAACAATAAATAAAAATGTTACACCTAGAAAATAAAATGTCACTGTCATTCAGTGTATTTAGCATTTTCAGTCAATGCTTGCCTTGATTGATGGTAGTTTTTGAAAGCAACATCTAATGAGAGGGGAGAAAACAGCTGTAACAAAGTATCAGAGACTTTTTGTTTGCTTTTAAGACTGTTTTTATTATGTTTTGCATAATTTTCTGCTATTTTAGAGTTTTTAAATGGCAGAAATAGGACTAATGTAGCAAACACTTGTGTGCCTACAATCCACGTTTGACAGTTAACATTTTACCGTGTTCACCTTGGTCTTCTTTTAGAAGAAATGAAATATTTCGAAAGCAGTTTGTGTGCCTTCTGTAACCCTCCCTTCTCACTCTCCTACTGTCCCACCCCAGAAGTAACCCTGGTCTTGGGATTGGGGTGTACTCTTTTTTATTATTTTAATGCTCTTTCTGTATTTTATGTGTCCATACTATTATATAGAAATATTTTCTTTATGCAACCTGCTGCTTTTCCTCCACTGATTGTTTTTGAGACTTGCCAGTAAACCTCCATGGACGGAGGAGCCATGGTAGTCTGCAATCCATGGGGTCGCTAAGAGTTGGACACGAGCGACTTCACCTTGACTTTTCACTTTCATGCATTGGAGAAGGAAATGGCAACCCACTCCAGTGTTCTTGCCTGGAGAATCCCAGGGACGGGGGAGCCTGGTGGGCTGCCATCTATGGGGTCACACAGAGTCGGATGAGTGAAGTGACTTAGCAGCAGCAGCAGCAGCAAACCTCAGTGTAAGAATGTGGGTCTGTATTGGTTGCGGTATCATTTGATTAGGGCAGTATCACAGTGTGTTGTTTTTATTGTTGTAGTTTTGTTAGGAGTGTGACCTTCTCCAGTTAACACATGGAGATCAATTATGTAACTGACATTATGCGCATCTCTTAAATTGCTTTCTCCCCAGGCTCCTGAGGTTATCATGTCTCAACATTATGATGCCAAGGCTGACTTGTGGAGCATCGGGACAGTGATATATCAGTGCCTCGTTGGAAAGCCACCTTTTCAGGTACCGTGACTCTTTTCAGGTATACTTAGTTTGGGGCTCTTTTCATTTTGAAGTTGCCTTTTGACTTATGAAATGGGGAATGCGATTGACCCTTGAACAGTGTAGGGGTTAATCCTAGGTAATACTAGGTTCTCCAGCTCAGGCTAACAACCCCATGGGAAATAGGTGTGAATGGTGACATTAGCGCTTCCTGCTTAGCCTGGATTTGGGGTCTGGGAATCCATGTGAGGGCGGGGGCAGGTCTGGGAAGATGGGTAACAACTCTCCTCCTGCCTCTCCTGGAGGAGAGGTCATTGTTTAGGTTTTACACAATTTATTTTAGGTAGGTCTGCCTCTCCCTTAACATTCTGTCAGAAGTCAGAAGGAGCTCTTCTAGCATATGATCACAGTGATTCCTCTTGAGTTCATATTGGCCAGTTACAGAGACCGTTTTTTAAATCTGAAAACTAAAACAGAAATAATTTGCCCAAGATGGTATTAAAAGTCAGTGACACAGCAGGTTGAACGCTTGATTTCTTAGCCTGGTTTGAAGGTAGAGGCAGCTTCAGTAATTCAGCAGCTCTTACTGCAAGGCTGCTGTGTTGTGTTCTGGAGAGGCTGGAAAGGAGCACTTTCTTAGTTCTCTGGCTTGACTCCCTTGAAGGTACATTGCACCTGACTTCACACAGCACACCTGTTGGGTGGGCCATGTAACCTCCCGAGTAGTGACTCTTCTGAGCCTCAGGCCTCTCTGAGAATCTGACCTCAGAAAGATACATTATGCCCAGATATGCAGAATCTGCATACAGTGTCAGAGGTGTTAGAAGTTCCTTGTGCCCATCGATGGCTCCCTCAGCAGTCCATGGCTTTCAAGTTCAGTCTCTGTTCTATAGCAAGAATATGAGCATCCATCATGTGATTTGGAGTTTTTGCCTTTGATTTTTTAGGAAATTAAGCCATTTTCTTCTTCTTCTTCTTTTTTTAACAGGCTAATAGTCCTCAAGACCTAAGGATGTTTTATGAAAAAAACAGGAACTTAATGCCTAGGTATGTGTCTTGATTACACTGGGTTTTACTATGTCAATACTCTGTTATTTATCTGAATTCTCTGTGTTTTATGGATGTTTTTCCATTATTGCATCTTTTTTTCAGTTAGCTGTAAGGAGAGCGTTCATTTTAACAGGAAATTAGAAAGCTACTAGAGCATCATACGTGCCCATGTGCTTGTGCCATTTTCTTTCTTTTTAATAATGTTAAGTTTATTCACCAGAAAAACCTACAGAAGTTATGTGTGTTCTTTGAGGGAAGGGAGGGAAATACAAACAGAACAGATGGGTGTAAAGCAGAAAGTGGCTGGGCTTCCCCTGCCCTTAGGGAGAACAAGAGTTTGCTGTGTACCTTTTGAAATTCTTTTTCTTTAGAAATATTTTTAGTGTGAATTCTCTTTACATGTTTGACTGCTTATTCATGTATATATATTTATTCTGTTGTTCAGTTGCTAAGTTGTGTCTGACTGTTTGGGACTCCATGGACTGCAGTATACCAGGCTTCCCTGTCCTCCCCTATCACTCGGAGTTTGCTCAAATTCATGTCTGTTGACTTGGTGATGCTATCTAACCATCTTATCCTCTGCCACCTTCTTCTGCTTTTGCCTTCAGTCTTTCCCAGCATCAGGGTCTTTTCCAATGAGTTGGGTCTTCACATCAGGTGGCCAAATTTTTGGAGCTTTAGCTTAACAACAGTCCTTCCAATGAATATTCAGAGTTGATTTCCTTCAAGATTGACTGGTTTGGTCTTGCTGTTGTCCAAGGGAGTCTCAAGAGTCTTCTCCAGCACCACAATTTGAAAGCATCAATTCTTCAGTGCTCAGACTTACTCTGTGGTACAACTCTCACATGTGTACCATGACTACTGGAAAAACCATAGCTTTGATCATACAGAATTTTGTTGGCAAAATGATGCCTTTACTTTTTAATAGGCTGTCCAGGTTTGTCATATCTTTTTTCCCAAGGAACAAGTATCTTTTAATTTCATGGCTGCAGTGAAATTTAATTTAATGCACTGTCCACAGTGATTTTGGAGCCCAGGAAAATAAAGTCTGTTACTGTTTCCACTTTTTCCCCTTCTATTTGCCATGAAGTGGTGCCATGAACTTAATTTTTTGAATATTGAGTTTCAAGTCAGCTTTTTCACTCTCCTCTTTTACCTTCATCAAGAGGCTGTTTAGTTCCTCTTCGCTTTATGCCATTAGAGTGATGTCATCAGCATATTGATACTTTCCCAGCAATCTTAATTCCAACTATTCATCCAGCCCAGCATTTCATGTGATGTTCTCTGCATATTAGTTAAATAAGCAAGGTGACAATATACAACCTTGTCGTATTCCTTTCCCAATTTTGAACCAGTCTGTTGTTCCATGTCTGCTTCTTTCTGGGGCTTCTGCACACATATAGTTCAATACAAATTACTTTGCAAATTGTTCTGTGCCTTTTTTTAACTTATGTATAGCATTTGTTTGGAGACATTTGTATTTATTTAAGCTCTGCCCTTTTCCAGGCAGAATTGGAGGTTTCTCTTGTTTAACAGAGAACTCTGTAGCAACTCTCAGTGCTAGGTTAAAGTTGTGTTAAAACTCAAGGTAGGCTGTGCTTGTGAGTGGCTTTGTCCTGCAGATGTTCTGACAAAGGCAGTGAGAATCTCAAGACGAGTCTTCCCAGACTGATGCTGCTTATGAGAGGCAACTGCTTAATGGGTTGTTTTTCTTTTAAGGAATGAGGCTTTATCATGGTTGTCTTGGTATAAAATGTGGTATTTGTGAAACTGCATATATATTTTCATTTACCATAATGAAAGCAAAAGTTGTGTAGTTAATATATATAAACTCACCACTTTAGTGTTTTTTTTTTCCCCCTTCCCCCGCAGCATTCCCAGAGAAACATCACCTTATTTGGCTAATCTTCTTTTGGGTTTGCTTCAGAGAAACCAAAAAGATAGAATGGACTTTGGTAAGTAATATTTTCAAATTTTGTATCTGGTTTATAATTTTGTGTATTTTGAAGAGTTTTTTTTTTTCTTAATTTATGTTTTATTGAAGTATTGTTGATATACAGTGTTGTGTTAGTATCTGGTGTACAGCCAAGTGATTGAGTTATACACACACACATATATATATTCTTTTTCATTATGGTTTATCACAGGTTGTTGAATATAGTTCACTGTTATACAGTAAGACCTTATAGTTTATCCATTCTATGTATAATAGTTTACATCTGCTAATCCTCAACTCCCAGTCCCTCCTTACCCTCCTTTCCCCTCTTGGCAACCATATGAAAAACAATTTTTTTAAAGATACTATAGAGGTTTCAGAAGAAAATGAAATTCATTTTTACTTTTCTATCTCTGTGTTTTCCCTTTTTACATATTTTGTAAATATATAGAAAGAATATAAATACTTAATAATTTAGAAACTATTATCCTGTATGTCATTTCATTATTGGCCCATTTTTCTCATGGTTACTGGGCAATGTCCATTTCTTTCTCTGAAAGATAGAAATATTTACCAATTGCATGAACTAAAGTTTGATATCAGTTTTTACAGAAGTTTCAGAAAAGATATATCCAGATTATTTCATCCCACCCCCTACACAGAAATTGTTAGAACTACTTTCTACTGAGAACATTTACTGAGGCCATGAACTGAGTGCTTCAGAGAGTGAGGTCATTTAGACTAAATCTGAGTTAATCTCATTCCTGATCTTGTATTATCCGGCAAACTTCCATGCTATGCTATTCTCCTTGTCCACTCTGTGCTATTTAGTAGCTCATAATTTGGAGACCTAATGATAATTGAGATGGTCTTTGTGGGCTTTTAAAGAAATAATGAAATAAATTATACATACAGGAAAAGAGAGTAAAATAATAAACTTTCATGTACTCACCTACCTATTTATCTTTAATTAGCAGTCTTACTGTGTAGGTTTTATCCTTGGTGAATAGCTGAAGGAACTAAATCAAATTAATAACTTTTTTAAAAATGTGAAACAAGCTGTAGAAATACTTCTGGGATAGAAGGATGGAATTTACTGTACAAATCAGCTGCCTAAGACTTCCTGTCAGGACAGTTGACAGCTGTAGTTCACATAAGTGCTTAGCGAGGGCCTGGCCGCGGTTCTCTGTGTTGTTATCTGCTTGAAGACAGCCACACAAGAGGACAGATCCACTTTAGTCGTCTTGGTGGTACTGTGTTAGTAATGGGCATTTGGAGAATTCACAGCCATTATTTTTAAATTTTCATTGATTCAGAATTACTTACAATTTGATGATTTTTATAGATGATTTATAAAAATAGCATGCTGTTACATTGAAAGGAAATTGTGTCTATATAAAGAAGGTAATAATAATTATGATCTTCCTTGGTGGCTCAGTGCTAAAGAATCTGCCTGCTGATACAGGAGACCTGGGTTCAATCCCTGGGTTGGGAAGATCCCCTGGAGAAGGAAATGGCAACCCACCCTAGTGTTCTTGCCTGAGAAATCTCATGGACAGAGGAGCCTGGTGGGGTCTATGGGGTTGCACAAGAGAGTTGGACATGACTTAGCAACTAAACAACAACATTAATAATTATATATGATTTCAAGGGTACTATGTTGACTACATCGACAAGATCAACCCGTCTGCCAAAATCAACGTCAGTTTAAAGGTTGCATTCTCATTTTCATTACAGAAGCATTTTTCAGCCATCCTTTCCTTGAGCAAGTTCCAGTAAAAAAATGTGAGTACCCACTTTTTACATTTTTACTAAACAAGTAAATGCAACCATAAGGTAAAATTAGTATTTGGTTTCACAAAATTAATCTTTTATGTGCTTCTCAAGATTTCATTGGGCTTTTCTTAAAAACTTATAGTTGTGTTTATTTAGTTCCAGTTCTATTTTTCCTTCTACATCCAAGCTGAAATAGTTCAGTAACTGCTGTGTTGTTAGTTTCATCCACGGGAGTATGTGGATGTGAATTTCTGGTCAGCACGAAGCTGTGGCGGTTGTGGCGGGTTTTCTAGTGGACGACTCAGGTAGCTGCACTCAGCGGCCTCTCTCCCCTGGTGTTTCTCCGCAGCCTGCCCAGTCCCGGTGCCCGTGTACGCCGGCTCTGCCTCTGGAGGCTCCTATGGCAGCTCTCCGTCCTGTCGTTTCGCCTCTCCACCGGTAAGTCCTGGGGTTCTTAGAAGTGACGGTAGAGTGTGCTAGTGCGTCTGCTCACAGACAGAGCTGCAGATATATTATGGCTGTTCTCTTTATGTATGGAGTATTCTAGCACGGCTGAGGCCTGAGTAGGGAGCCCTGTTGCTGAGGATCTCGGTTTGGAATCTTCCTCTACCTAGATGTGCACACTTCAGCAGAACACAGTACCTCTCAGGGCTGCCTTCCTCTGAACCAGGAACACAGTGCTCTCACCTTCTCATGCTCAGTAAGGTTGGGAAGGGTTTCACTGTGACAGGTAGATAGGTAGCTTTGTATTTATTTTATCAACGTCATAAACATCAATCTGGAGAGTTAGTACACACAGAACTCCGGTGGTAGAGGAGTGCCCTTTGGGCCTGAGACCCTGTCGTCATGGTGACAGGCCCTGTGAGCTGCTCCCCTGCAGCCCCCTCCCTCCAATATCAGTGCTTCTTCCTGGTCCTGAGAACTCCTTCCTCCTGCTTTGCTCCTCTGGGTCTTGTCTTTCCCTCTTCTGTGCTTTCCTGGACTTCCCCCCACATCTCTCTTGCTGCCTGAGAGTTGTGACCTTGAAACTTTTCACAAATCAAAGTCCAGAGGCCATTGTGTCAGCCTCTTCGGGCATTTTTCAGATTGGCCTGCAGACACGCATTTCTTGACTTCTGCTGGCAGTGGGGTTGGGGAGCTGCACAGGAAGCTGGCTGGGGGTTAGCAGCCTGATGCTCAAGAGTCTGGGCTTGGACATGTCCACGTTCGTGACTCGCCGTGTTGCCTGTGACAGGTGACTCAGTCTCTCTGAGCCTAAGTAAAGTGAGCATAAGTCACGTGCCTCATGGCATTTTTAAGGATAAAGAGGAAAAGCACTGACTGCACTGCTCGGCACACAGTAATACTCAGGCAGTGGCAGGTGCTGTTATTCCTGTTTTCCAGGGAGACCCTATGGCCCCTGGTAAAGGCAGAGGCTGGAGCAGCCTGTGGCACATGACTGAGCCCTAACACTGGCAAAGCCCTTCTGCACAGCCTGCCGACTCAGACCAAATAGAAAGGCAGAGGGCTAAGAAGACTTAGGTTATATTCCCATGGATTTAAAGAGGGAAAAAAAGTGTCGTATATTTCCTGTTTCAGTCTGGAATAAAGAAAAACACTGAATCTAGAGGGAGTGGGAAGAGTTTGACGAACTACACTGTCAGGGAGAGACTGCAGACTGTATCTGGCCCTGCTGCTTGCTCCTGTAACCTGCTGGGCAGGTCAGCTCCTCATTTGTAACGTAGGCCTGGCTATCCTCTGGTTGCAGGGTGGGTGGTGGTACGTGGTGGGAACATGATGACTGTAGCTGCCGTGATGGAGTGTGTACATGATGCAAGGTGACACGGGGTGTGGAGAGCACAGCGTGTGCTGGGGGGGAGGGGCAGGGGAGGACCTGGGTGTAAGGGAGGCCTGCAGGGTGGTTGGACAACCGTGGGAGGAGACAGAGAGGGGTCACCAGGGGAACACAATGGGAGAGTGCTTTGACAGGGCACAGCGTATTGGGTTTTTGTTGGATGAGACGTGTTGAAAGGGAGAGCAAATGAGGAGTGCTTGGGCTGCTGGAAGAGCGGACCAGGGAGAAGACGTGGTGGGGAGGGGAGGCGTAGTTATTATAAATGCTTAGAACTTTGCGTGTGTGTGCCAAGTCGCTTCAGTCATGTCTGACTCTTTGCAGCCCTGTGGACTGTAGCAGGCTCTTCTGTCCATGGGATTCTCCAGGCAAGGATGCTGGAGTGGGTTACCATGCCTTCCTCCAGGGATCTTCCCGACCCAGGGGTTGAGTCTCTTATGTCTCCTACACTGAACCCACGGATTGAGTTTCTTATGTCTCCTGCATTAGCAGGTGGGTTCTTTACCACTAACACCACCTGGGAAGCCCCAGAACTTTGGTGGAAAAACCTTTTTTTAGAAGGCTTTTATGAAGAGCTCATGCTTGAAGTGAAAGTAACAAATCTGGAAATAAAAGGAGAGTAGGAATGTTTCTGTATAATTTCCAATTAGAGATTAGAAAGTGGAGTGATCTGATAGGCCTTGTGTCAACATAATCCGCAACAGTGAGGTGACATCCTGCATGCACTCCTTCCCTCCTGGGGCTGGGCTGGACTCCTGTACTGAGGGGGATGCAGGCATCCCCGCCCCATGTGACAGTCTGTTCTTTACATTCTCCCAAAATACCCAGCTGCTACTTTACTCCAGACAACTCTTTGAAAGGTGAAAAACAAAAACTGGAACAAAAAATTTCAAATAATTCTGTTAGATCTGATACTGGCTATAGGCTAAATGCTAGGTAGATAATACCTCTTAAATATCTACTCTTTTAATTAAACGTCTTTAATGCCCACTTTGTGTGAAGTTTTGGTTGATACCAGTGACAGGGCAGATCCCTTTGTTGAGCAGCTCTGGGTTTGGTTGTGTGGAGGAGAGACCGGTGGTGCAGCCTGTGGGAGGCAGATGGCCTCATGCCTCTTCTTGCTTGTGGGACTGGAGATGAGGCCATGACATCAGACTGAGAGCTTGCAGAGAGAACCTCGGCAGAGACATTGAGCTAAGTTTTGAATTTGTAAGAGTGGTAACGTAAGCAGAGGAATCCCCATGGAACCATGACCTGTTGCGACAGTCTGTAGCCCACCGTGGCCACGTATGTTTGTTAGAATTAAGTGATTTGCAGATTCAACTCTGTAGTCTCCCTGGCTACATGTCACATGTTCCTAGCCAGCTATAACTGATGGCCACCGCGCTGTACAGAGCTGAACCCTCTGGCGTTGCAGGAAGCACTGTGGTACAGGCTTCTCTCATGGCCCAGCCTGAGGGTGCAGAGAACAAGGTGATGTGCTGGGGGGCGAGTGGAGCCGGGGTGGGGCCAGTCTGCATCCTGGCAGAATCTGGGCTATAAGCAGAGCAGGCTGTGTGTGCTGAGACATTTGAGTGGCTTTAAGTGGAGGTGTGACTTGATCCACTGTGTGTTTTAGCAAATAAATTCCTCTGTAAGCAGGTGGGGGATTGGATGGAAGATCAGAAGAGAGGCCTCTCTCCTAGAGCAAAGAGAACAGCCTGTGACCATTGCACTGTTTTGGGGTTTGCTTTGTTTGTTTTTGAGAATGAGGGCCTGAACTAAGTCAGCAGTAGGAAAGGGAAGGACAAGGGGCCAGGAAGAGCAGGATAAGGAGTCTGCAGTGTTTAGAGATTGCTTGAATTTGGGACCTAAGGAAGAGGAAGGTCTTGATGGGGCCTGAGTGGTGTGAGTTGATGGAGCCACTTAGAGGGGGAACACAAGGATGATACACTGTGATGTGCAGGCCCAGGGGCAGGTCTGAGCTCAGGAGTCAGCACTCTGCAGGGGTAGTTGATGTAGGAAGGTGACAGTGGGCCCCGGGTGGGTATAAACTGTGAGGGTTGGAGGCCAGGGTGGCACTGGGGAAACTCATACTCCACCGGTCTCCTTAGAGGGGCAAAGAGACTGAGTAGTAGAAAGGGAAATGGAGAGCAGGGTCCCTGAATGGAGGGCTGGGGGCCCAGTGTCTGGGAAGCAGAGTCCAGTACCTGAAGGAGTAGTGGAGGGTCCACAGACCTGGCAGTGGAATCATTGGGAAGCTTAGTAAAGGCAGTTTTATTGGAGGGTTGAAGGCAGAAAGAGGCTTGTGGTGAATAAAGCGGTACTTTAGGAGAAGGAAGTGGCAACCCACTCCAATATTCTTGCCTGGAAAATCCCATGGACAGAGGAGCCTTGTAGGCTACAGTCCATGGGGTTGCGAGGAGTCGGACATGACTGAGTGACTTCACTTTCACTTTTCACTTTCATGCATTGGAGAAGGAAATGGCAACCCACTCCAGTGATCTTGCCTGGAGAATCCTGGGGACGGAGGAGCCTGGTGGGCTGCCGTCTGTGGGGTTGTACAGAGTCGGACACAACTGAAGTGACTTAGCAGCAGCAGCAGCAAGTGATACTTTGGAGGTGAGGAATTTGAGTCAGTGAAAACTGAAATTTCAAGAAACATTGTTAAGTGAAGAAGGGAGATAAGATGGTAATTGAGAGAGTTATATTGATTTGAGATGTGAAGAAATTAAACATGTTTGTGTGCAGAGGGGAAAGCAGAGGGGAGTTGATCAGGGTCCTTGAAGAGGGAAGAGAATTAGTAGAAGATGACCTTTGAACCTGAGAAGCATCTCTTCCACACAGGTGGCTGTGGATGAAGGTAATTTTATAAATAGCAAAGGGAGACATTGAGAGAGTCCCTGCCTGGGGAGCAAGGGCACAGGGAAGAATTGGTGGAGTTAGGTGCTTGGAACCTGGCCCACTCACCTGTTCTCTCTTCTGAGTTTTGTTTGTTTATGTATGAAATGGATATCAGAATAGGCTGGAGTTAGATAATACATGGAAAGCTCTTAACAGGGCCCAGTGGCAAGCTCAGTGCCAAGCCCGAGTGCTCTGTAATGTTACTTCCTCCAACTTCCACTCTGTTTATAACCTTGAAGCATAAGTGCTCTTCAAAAAGTGATAAGGAGAATTTATATCATGTATATGTCTCTCACACACACACACACACACACACACACACACACACACACACACACAGAAGTGATAAGGAGATTTGAGACTGGTTTCACTGTGCAGTGACATTTGAAGAAATAGTAGGGGTTTAAAACTGTGCTTTACAGAGCATTTTGTAGTATTTTTCTTAAATAGAAGCAAAGGTTAAACAGGATAATGGGGACCTAACACAGTAAGTTATGAAGTTCATTGTTTTAGGAGACTGTTGTATGATGAAGATATTCAGTTAAAGTTGTGACTGCTGTCCTTGAACTAGGCAAGTGCCAAGAGGAATATAGCTACTTGTGCCCAAGGATCTATTCAATATATTCATATGCTTTTCTCCCCTTATGGTCCCATCTTCCACAAATACCTTACAGGTCTATCTTCCACAAATCAACTCCTTCCCCTGACAAAAAAGAAAACAAAAGGAACACACCCACACCTGTAAGGCTTTCTAAATCTTTTTTTCTGGAAGTGTCAGTAATTCCCTGTGCTTATACACAGTTATTCTTACTGATTTAGTTACTTTTCTGTATAGCATAGTTTCTGGCTTTTCCCTTTTATAATTTTTCTTCATTGGAGATTGAAAACTGTGTGCAGAATGTCATTCAAGTCCCTGGACATTTTGTTTTAGTCATTATTTAAGCAGGTATTGAGTATCTGCTTTGCTAGGCCATGAGCTGAAGCGGGGATGGGACATGATACAGATTCACAGCGGACCTTTCAGGGGAGGCAGACCTGTGCACGTGATAAGAGGTGTGATGTGATTTAAGTATCACTTTTGGGAAACATTTTAGATGGTGTTATGCAAACACACCTTAAACTGTGCATCTCTAAGGGAAAGGTTTTCCAGAGATTTTTTAAATCTTCAATGAAATTGAACTCTGTGCCACTTTCATGAAAAAAATATTCCTTAGTCTAATGGCTGTTCTGACTTGCATTTTATTGAGGCCACTTTTAATTTTATGTTATTAATTTTAGTCCCTTCCAGATATGCAGCATATTCAGGAAGAAAACTTATCCTCCCCACCATTGGGTCCTCCCAACTATCTCCAGGTGTCCAAAGATTCTGCCAGTACTAGTAGCAAGAACTCTTCTTGTGACACGGATGACTTTGTTTTGGTTCCACACAACATCTCGTCAGACCACTCATGTGAGAATCTTTTCTGCTTGTACACATTGTATTTCTGAATTTACTAGACTAGCATTTTTTAACCTTTATGTCACGCTCTTGTGTGTAGGACACCTTTCCAAATGGACATTTTATTTAGTTGATGAAATTCCCAGAACTATATGCCTACATTCCTGTGACAGTAACCTTGGATTCTGAAGGTAGATGAAAACTTTACAGGAAATGACCTCAAATTCTGTTTGTGTCCAAACAGAAAGGAGTGGAGAAGCCAGCAGAATGAAAGAGATTAAATTTAAGGAAAGGATCTAAAGGAAGACCTCTTTTGGAAGAAATCTGGGAGTCAAAGGGTCTTACAAACAGTCTGGCTGTGCTTCAGGAGATGCTGGCCAGAGTTCAGGAATGAGCTTCATAAACACACAGGAAGGATGTTTTATAAAGGAAGCAGAATCCAGGCTGCCTGAATCCAAGCCAGGATTCTGTGGAGTAGTGCAGGGCACTGGGAGACCTACGAGAAGAGAAGTTAGAACCATAAAAAAGAAGGAACTAGGGTTTGGCTGCAGAGGAGTAGGATCAGAAGAGCTGGAAACTTAAAAGACTTTAATGATTTAATAGTATCAGGTTGACTGTGTGCAGATGTAGGAAGCTGGAGAAGTCTGTGTCAAGAGGTCTCAGGATGTTTGTCAAATTCATATTTAATAGCTGCTTACATTAGCCCCTTGCTAGCTGTCATGAAGGCTGCGACCTCAGACCAGACACACTTATGGGCTGCTTGGCTGGGGCAGGGGAATCATGCATAGCATGTAATAGCAGGTGGCAGGTTCTGACCAGAGCACCGAGAGCTGGGAGTTGCCTTTAAAAATCATCCTGTGTGGTTGTTTTACCTTACTGAAAAAGTAATTAAAAGTTTTAAATTGTGAAATATTTCAAACCAAATAATACAGCAGATACTCAAATGGTCCACCATGCTAATTTTATTTATGTCACCATTTTGCCATGGATGTTTTAGATGTCTTTTTAAAGGTATACAATGCTGTAGGTACAGACAGAGCACCTGGCCTCATTCTAATCTTGCCAGAGATATATTCTTCTTGATTTATATTAAAATTCTAATATGCCTGTATCTAAAAAAAAACATTACAGTTTTAAGTAAATGTTACATAGAATATTTGTTTCTGTAGTTTGCTTTTTTATTCCTATTTTTGCTGTGTATCTAGATATATAGCTAGGTGTGTATCTAGTTCATTTTAACTTATGAATTTTATATTAAAAATAGTACAACTGAACCATAGTTTATCCATCTCCCTACTGATTGTGACTTGGATCATTTCCATCTTTTTACTGTTCAGAATGTGTGGTAACAGATGTCCTTGTGCCAGAATTTCCTCCAGGTGGCTGTAGATATGTACAGCTTCAGCTCTGCAAAATGTTGGTACAAGCAAGTTGTAGCCTTTAGCCACTAGCAGCAGTGTCCTGTCATGCTGCCCCAGTAGTACCATGGTGCCTTCTAGAGATTTTCATTATTTTTTCCATGTTTAACTTTACCTGGAACTCATTTGTATAGATGATAAGAGTTCTATCAGTTACCCCAGGATTATTTATTGACTGTTCTGTCCTTTCCTCATTTATATGCAATCCCAGACATGCCCCATCAGGCTTATATAAAGGATTTGTTTCATTGTGTGTAATATGGGGTCATATGTGTGATATATGTGTGTAATATGTGATATATGTGTGTAATATGGGGTCAGAGGTGAAGGAGAGGGGGCACCCAAGAATTCTGTGGAATCACCCAGGCTATTGTTGGCCCCTTTCCCCGCCATGTAGTTTAATTTTGACTTGAAATGCTACAAAAAAGCCATTTGGGGATTTTGATTGGAATTGTGTTGATTCTCTAAGATGTGTTCAGTGACAGAATCTTTACAGTGTAGAGTGTAGGAGGGTTCCTTTCTCCCACACCCTCTCCAGCATTTATGATGTGTAGTCTTGGTGATAGGAGCCTTCAGACTGGCGTGAGGTAATTACCTCACTGTGGTTTTGATTTGCGTTTCTCTGATAATTAGCCACGTTGAGCACCTTTTCATGTACCTGTTGGCCACCTGTATGTCTTCTTTGAAACCTCTTTTACCTGTGCAACCATTGATGTTAAAAGTGATTGTTGATGATACACCTGGATTAGTGCCTACCACATTCATGTTTTCTGTTGTTGTCCTTGACCTGCCTTCCTGTTTGTCTTCTACTCTTTTTCTACCTTTTGTGGTCTTAATTGACCATTTATTAAGGTTCTATTTTCTTTCCTTTCTTAGCATATCAGTTATACTTCTTTTTTATTTTTTTGAGTGGTTGATTTGTCTTAGATTTGCAGTATACATGTGCAACTAATCCATGTCCATTTTAGAAATACACTATACCATTTATGAATATTGTGGGTATCTTATAATAACAAAATAACCCTAATTCCTTCCTCCCTGTATCTTTGTTGTCATTAATTTCACTTATATATAAGCATACACAAGCATATATATATATATGTATACACACAGGGCATGGAGGGAAGCACACATAACTGAGTACATCATTGCTGTTGAACAAACTGTTACCTATTAGATCAGTTAAGAATAATCAAAATAAAAGTTTTCGTTTTGCTTTCACCTATTCCTTCTGCAGTGCTTTTCCTTACTTTGTGTAGGTTCAGTTTTCTGATCTATGTTATTTTTCTTCTAAAGAACTTCTTGCAAGGCAGATCTACTGGCAACAAATCCCCTCAATTTTTGCTTGTCTGAGAGTCTTTATTTCTCCTTCATTTTGGAGAATAATTTTGCAGGGTATGAAGTCCTAAGTTGGTGGTTTATTTCTCTCAACACCATAAGTATTTGATTCCACTCTCTTTCGGTTTTTGAGGTTTCGGAAAAGTCTGTGTAATTCTGTTTTTATTCCTCTGTAGGTGTTTCTCTCCTCTGGCTTCTTTCAGAATTTTTTCTTTATTTTTAATTTTCTAGAATTTTAAAATGACACACCAATGTGTAGTTGTTTGGGGCATTTACCCTGCTGAGTGTTCTCTGAGCTTCCTGGATCTGGGGCTTGATGACTGACATTAATCTGGGGAAATTCTCATTGTTTCAGATAATTCCTTCTGTTCCCCTCTCTCTTCTCCTTCTGGAATCACGATTTTGCACATGTTACACCTTTTGCAGTTGTCCCACAGACCTTGGATATCCTGTTCTTTTTTTTTAAGTCTTTTTATTTTTTGGTTTTCAAGGATTTTGTTGAAATAATCCTCTGGCTCAGAGATCCTTTCCTCAAACATGCCCAGTCTACTAATAAGCCTCCCAGAGACGTTCTTCATTCCTGTTACAGTGTTTTTTATCTCTAGCATTTCTTCTTGGTTCTTTCTTAGGATTTCCATCTCTGCTTTTATTCCCTATGTGTTCTTGTGTGCTGTCTGCTTTTTCCATTAGAGCCCTTAGTATATTAATCCATTCAGAGAAGGAAATGGCAGCCCACTCCAGTATTCTTGCGAGGGAAATGCCATGGACAGAGGAATCTGGTGGGCCACAGTTCCTGTGGTCACAAAGAGTCGGACACGACTGAGAGCACACACACATGATAATCATCATCATTTTAAATTCCGGATCTGGGGATCCCAGCATCCCCACTGTGTCTGGTTCTGATGCTCTGCCTCTTCAGGGTGTTTTTTTGCCTTTGATGTGGCTTGTACTTGTGTCTAGATAGCTGCATCCGACGTATTGAGGGCTGGGGTGGGGTAGGTAAGTGCTGTCCACAGGCCGTTAGAGCTGTGGTCGTTAATGATGTGGTGGGGAGGAGGCAGCCCTGTGGTTAAGGCTCTGCCTTTCATGGAGCATAGAGTCGGACATGACGGAGCGACTTTCACACTCTTTCATGGAGCCTGAGCCTTTGGTTTGTGAACCTCAGAGCTATTTCACATTTCTTCTCTTGTCTGAAGTGGGACAGGGTGGCTGGAGGGGCCTGGAGTTGGGGGTTCCCCATCTCCAGGTCATTGAGGCTCTGAGTTCAGCCCCAGTTGGTGAACTCGGGTTAGTACATGTCCCTTGAGGACTGGCCTTGTTCCACAGAAGCCCCCTCCCCCGCTCCAGGCAGGAAAGTATCTTTCTCCACATTTACTGTGGCAGTCTGCCTGGGCTCCCAGAGGTCAGTCTGACAGCCCTGTGCTCCTCCTATGACTGCGACTCCCTGGAGTTTTCAGCTTTCAGAGCTGTCTGCCCCGAGACTCTAGCAAGTTGTCAGTTCTCACTCAGGTGTTCCTGCCCTGGCTCTGGTTTCCATAGTCGTTTCGGTTGATGAGTCCCTTCCCAGGGAAGCCAGTCCTCTCTGTGTGTGCCTGTTTCTGCAGTCTTGGGGACATCTCTTCGCCCAGGGTCCTCCTGTCTCCTCTGGAGCCAAAAAGAGTTTTCACTTGTCAAGATGGAAGGGTGACTTCCAAACTCCTTACATGTGAAATCAGGAGCTGGAGGTCTCTGAAGGAAACATTTAAAACATCTGTACAACTTAACACTACTAATGTAACACATACCTGAGCATACTCCTGATTTTCTTAACCTTCTTTGTCTGATTTTTCATCTTTTTGTTGTATTGCTCTACTTTTAGGAAAGTTTCCTTAATGTTCTCTTGATGAAAAGTTAATAAGGACAGTTCTACTTGTTACTGGTCAAAGCACAATTATATAGGGGCTGTACATCAAATGACATGTTGCTAGCTACACAATCCAGGTCTGCATGTAAAAAGCCAGTGGTGGGTTGTTGTGATGACCCCTTACAAGATTAAGAGGGAAGGTTATTTCCTAAGGAGGTCTGGTTAATGAAGGTGCAAAATATCCACTAAAAGAAGAGAGGAGACCCAAATGAGCACAGAGAACTTTTGTCTAAATTTCTCTTGCCTTGCCATAAAATGTGAATTTTATTTCATTAATCTTCTATTGGGTTTTTCACTTATTATGCTCTCATCTTTTCAATTTTTAGAAGTTCTTTTTATCTCCCTCTCAGTATTGTTATTTTTATTAACTTTTGCCTGTAAAATGTTTAGTTCTTTTTTCCCTCCAGTTTGTTTCAGAGTCTAGTTTTTCATTTAGATTCTTTCTTTGAATGTTTGGTGATGGTCATGTGCTCATAATTTAGAATTAACAATTAAGATGTTATTTGAAAGCTTCATGTGTGGCGGATCTTATGGACAGGGAGTCTACACTGGGTCATCAGTCTGAGTCATTGTCTCAGACAGCTTCCTTTTTGAGGGGCTGCTCAAATCCCCCAACAAAGGCTCAGCCATTAGTTAGTTCAGTCGCTCAGTCGTGTCTGACTCTGCGACCCCATGAACCGCAGCACACCAGGCCTCCCTGTCCATCACCAACTCCTGGAGTCCACCCAAACCCATGTCCATTGAGTCAATGAAGTCATCCAACCATCTCATCCTCTGTCGTCCCCTTCTCCTCCTGCCCTCAGTCTTTCCCAGCATCAGGGTCTTTTCCAATGAGTCAGCTCTTCGCATCAGGTGGCCAAAGTATTGGAGTTTCAGCTTCAACATCAGTCCTTCCAATGAACACCCAGTACTGATCTCCTTTAGGATGGGCTGGTTGGATCTCCTTGCAGTCCAGGGGACGTTCAAGAGTCTTCCCCAACACCACAGTTCAAAAGCATCAGTTCTTCAGCACTCAGCTTTCTTTATAGTCCAACTCTCACGTCCATACATGACCACTGGAAAAACCATAGCCTTGACTAGATGGACCTTTGTTGGCAAAGTAATGTCTCTGCTTTTTAATATTCTGTCTAGGTTGGTCATAACTTTCCTTCCAAGGAGTAAGCGTCTTTTAATTTCGTTGCTGCAATCACCATTTGCAGTGATTTTGGAGCCCAGAAAAATAAAGTCAGCCACTATTTCCACTGTTTCCCCATCTATCTGCCATGAAGTGGTGGGACTGGATGCCATGATCTTAGTTTTCTGAATGTTGAGCTTTAAGCCAACTTTTTCACTCTCCTCTTTCACTTTCATCAAGAGGCTCTTTAGCCATTAGGAATGTTCAGTTAAATTTCCGAGTTTAAAGTCACTTGAAAGCATTCCCCTCTGGTAGTTATGTTACCGAGCTGATACATGATTAGGCTCCATCACTTCATTTTATTTTTGATTTCTAGGGATTGTTATTTTCTTCTTAGTTTTGTTTCACAGTGATATATGATTCCAAACTCAAAGCTGCAAAATGGAGAGGTGAACTCCAGCTTCCAACCCTGTCCCCTCTGCCCTGTTATCTCCATTACCCTTGGGCAACTGTTGTCTTTAAAACTGACTTCTTTGTGGCCCTCTCTATCCCCTTACCCTGACTGATTTTCCTTTTATACATCTCATCACTTCCTGCTACTGTTAACCTTTTTTCACTACTAGAGTGTAAGCTTGATGACAGCAGGGACAAATATAAATGTATTGATATTCCTCAGTTGCATGTAGGGCCATTCAAAGGGAGGTTTGTGAGTATTTTTTTCCTTTTTGAGTATTTTGAAGTTACCATAGTTTATTTTATTTTTAAAAATTTATATTATTAGTCAACACTACTATTTCACATCAGCCCATATGAATTATACCTTTGCAGCCATGTAAAGGTCACACAGGGCAGTGTGATCTGATGGGTGTAGAGGTGGTAAGGGATGAGAGACCCTGTGTTCTGAGCTGCACTCTGTTCCCGTAGATGGGTGATGTCTGAGCATGAAGACTCCCTGTGGCATCTGTGTCCAAGAGGCCTAGCTTCATGACATCTTGTTCAGCCACCCATGCAAGACCCAGGAGAGTGTCATGCAGGAGTGGGGATGCTCTAGCGTTAGAGTGAACTGGACTCGGGGTGCAGGCAGCTGTACTAGAAGGTGACAGACCTGTTCTTAAGTCACCACACTCTGCAAAGTAGTTCAATAAAGCCCACAGTGTTTATGGCAAATTGGGGTTAGGAGAACAACACCCAAAACCTTTGTCAGTGACATGTGAAACGGAACATGGTAAAAACAGTAGCACAGATTTTGCACATATTAAATGGTGGAGAAATACATACTTGTTACAATAAGCATGACAGTTTACCTTGAAAAAACCTGATGTTGGCAGCCTGTGAGTTCAACTGGGTGCAGTGTTCCCTACTAGCTTATTGTTGCAAAATCACAACATAAGCAAATGGTAAATTTGTATTGTGATCAAATTATTTCCTAATAGTCAAGTTGGAACAATAAACACTTTTAAACAAGTGGTTTAGCAAAACTGGTTGTATTTTTCTCTTTTTTTTCTTCAGATGATATGCCAATGGGAACTGCTGGCAGACGTGCTTCTAATGAGTTCTTGGTGTGTGGAGGGTATGTCTGCATGTATTTCACTAAACATTTTTTCATATTTTTTTTGTGTTTGAGTGAAGTTACAGAACTCTGTTCTTGATTCTAAAATTTATTTTGTTTCACAATGGTTTCTTTCTTTAAACATTTTTTAAAATTGTAAAAAAAAAAATGAAAAATTGCTGTCTTAACCATTTTTCAGTTTGAGTTCAAAAACAGCATTAAGTATATTCACAGTGTTGTACAATAGGTCTCCATATATGGTCTCCACATGGATGTATGGTTATACATTATGTTGTTGTATTTAGATCTTTAATCTGTTTTTAGGTGGTTTTTGTATGTGGCATAAGAGAAGGGTCCAGTTTCAATTTTGGCTGGTGGATATCTAGTTTTCCCAGCACTATTTGCTGAAGAGACTCTCCTTTCTCCATTGAGTGATGTTGGCACCCTTGTCCAAGATCACTTATTCATAAATGCAAGAGTTTGTTTCTGAGTTCTCTGCTGGTCTATAGGTCTGTCTTTATGCCAGTGCCACACTGTTTTGACTACTGTAGCTTTGTAGTATGTTTTGAAATCAATAAGTATGTGATCTCTCAGAATTCCCTGGTGGTTTAGTGGTTAGGACTTGGCACTTTCAGTGCCATGGACTTGGATTCAATCCCTGATTTGGGAGCTAAGGTCCCTCAAGCCCATATTACTGCTGCTAAGTTGCTTCAGTCATGTCTGACTCTGTGCAGCCCCATAGACAGCAGCTCACCAGGCTCCCCCATCCCTGGGATTCTCCAGGCAAGAGTACTGGAGTGGGCTGCCATTTCCTTCTCCAAGGCATGAAAGTGAAAAGTGAAAGTGAAGTCGCTCAGTCATGTCTGACTCTTAGCGACCCCATGGACTGCAGCCTACCAGGCTCCTCCGTCCATGGGATTTTCCACGCAAGAGTACCAGAGTGGGTTGCCATTGCGTTCTCTGTCAATCCCATGTGGCGCAGCCTAAAATATAAATAAATAAAAAGACTGAGACCTCCAATTTTATTATTTTCCATGATTATTCTGACTATTCAGGGTCCATGCACAGTCCATATGAATTTTAGGATAGATTTTGTTTTTCTATTTATATAAAAATAGCCACTGTGATTTTGATAGGGACAGCACTAATCTGTATAAAACACTTTGGGTATTACTGTTGACATCTTAATATTAAGTTTTCCAATCCATGAATATGAAGTGTCTTCTTTAATTACATTTAACAATGTTTTGTAGTTTTTATCATGCAAGTCTTTCATCTCCTTGGTTAGACTTATTTCTCAAATTCTATTCTTTTTGATACTAGTATCAGTGAGATTGTTGTCTTAATTTCCTTTTTGGATTATTTGTTGTTAATATATGGAAAATACAACTGATTTTTCTGTGTGTTGATTTTATATCCTGCAACTTTGCTGAGTTTACTAGTTCAAATGTCTTTTTTTTTTTCCTTGTATGTGAAATCTTTAGTTTTCTACATTTACAATCATGCTGTCTATGAAGAGATAATTTTATTTCTTCCTTTCCAGTTTGAATGTCTTTTATTTCTTTTTCTTGCCCAATTGCTCTGGCTAGGAATTCTACAATGAATAGAATTGTTGAGAGAGGCCATTCTTAACTCATCCCTGATCATACAGGAAAGGCTTTCTGTCTTTCTCCATTAAATATGTTGTTAGCTGTGGGCTTTTCATATATACCTTTATTATTGTTGAGGTAATTTCCTTCTATTCCTGTTTTATTTAGTAGTTTTTATCATGAAAGGGTGTTGGATGTTGACAAATGCTGCATCATTTGTGGTGATTGTGTGGTTTTTGTCCTTTGTTCTGTTAATTATGGTATACTGTAAATCCTGTTTGGTCATAGTGTTTGATCCTTTTGACATAATCTTGAATTTGGTTTGCTAGTATTTTGTTGAGGATTTTCACTTCAAATTTCATCAGGGATATTCTGTAGTTTTCTTTTCCTATAGTGTCTGTGTCTGGCTTTTGTACTAGGGTAATGCCGAACTCATGGGATGAGTTTGGAAATGTTCCCCCCTCTTCAATTTTTGGAGGAGTTTGAGTGTTGTTTGGTAAGTCTTTAACTGCTAGAATCCACCAATGAAGCCATATGGTCCTAGATTTTTCTCTTTTGGGAGGTTTTCAGTTAATGGTTCAGTCTCGTTACTAGTAATAGATCTATTCAGGTTTTCTTTCTTCATGATCCAGTCTTGGTAGGTTGTGTATTTGTAGGATTTATCTGTATATTGTAGGTGGCATTAGTTATGACCTTTCTTTCATTTATGATTTTGAGTCTTTTCTCTTTTATCCTTAGTTAATATCGCCAAGGGTTTATCAGTTTCATTGATTTTTTAAACTAAATATATTATCTCTTTATCCCTCTAATATTGTAACTAGGCAAAAGTGGGAGATTTTGTGGCTTTTTCAGAATTAAGGAAAGGCAAAAGAATGAAATCATTCATTCTTTCTTAAGGCCTAGTGTCACCCCCGATGTTTTAAGACATGTTGTAGATTGCATTGAAAGTCATCTAAGGACATGCCGTTTCTGAATTTGTGAAAAGCAAGGAAAGAAACCAGCTGTGCTGCACAGTGTGGATCTCACATGAGTTGTGTGCTGGGAGTCACACAGTATGTTTTTAGTCTTCATCAAAGTCCCAGTTCCTGAGAATGCTTACTGCACTCATAACTTTTGTAAACATTCCAGGCATCTCTGCTCTTGAATTTCCTGTTCTTTTACCCAGCATAGTTTCCTAGAAGCATTTTTCCTCTTGATCACATGAGAATGAGCCGCAGAAGGTAAGCAGCTGAAGCGGCGCTGTGCCGGCCGTGGGCCCTTCCTGTTGCTGTAGAGGGGTGTGTGTCCCCTTCTGGCTGCACGTCTTCCTCCTCAGTGTGTGTGTGCAAGCCAGGAGACTTCTTGAAGTGACAGGTGTGATGTTTTCGGCTATATATATATATATGTATATTTAAGATCATTTCTTAATCGCATTCAGATGTGATCACTTGGCTTCTTCTAGAGTTTTCTCAATGTCACCAGTGGGTCAAGTGAAAGGAGAGTGGTTTCACTGGATTTCTTTCCTTTTTCATGACTCGTGTCTGCAGGCAGTGCCAGCCCTCCGTATCCCCACACAGCGCAGCTGCCCCCATTCCCGTCCCCACCCAGGTGAGGAATTACCAGCGCATAGAGCAGAACCTCACCTCCACTGCTGGCTCCAGCACAAATCTACATGGCTCTCCACGGTAGGTGGGCACTCTCCCCTTTCTCAGTTCCTCCACCTGTCTTTTAAAGTCCTTTGTTATTGAAGGTTCGTCACTTTCCATAGCTGACTACTCTCTCACATGGGTGTGTGCTGGAGGTGTACGAAATTGAATAATGATGAATGTTTTTTGTAGTGGATCCATTTAAATGATGTTTAAGCTTGGCTGGGTAATTCATATAGTGTGATATGGTGCTGGTGGTAAAGAACCCACCTGCCAATGCAGGGGGAGAAGGAAATGGCAACCCACTCCAGTACTCTTGCCTAGAGAATTCTGTGGACAGAGGAGCCTGGTGGGCTGCTGTCCGTGGGGTTGCACAGAGTCGGACATGACTGAAGCGACTTAGCATGCATACATGCATTGGAGAAGGAAATGGCAACCCACTCCAGTATTCTTGCCTGGAGGGAGAGACAGCAGAACCTGATGGGCTGATGTCTGTGGGGTTGCACAGAGTTGGACACGACTGAAGTGACTTAGCAGCAGCAGCAGCCAATGCAGGAGACTCAGGAGATGCGAGTTTGATCCCTGGGTCAGAAAGATCCCCTGGAGAAGGGCATGGCAACCCACTCCAGTATTCTTGCCTGGAAAATCATATGGACAGAGGAGTCTGACGGGCTACAGTCCATGGGGTTGCAAAAGCGACTGAAATGACTTAGCATGCATGCCCACATGCATGATACATTCATATTTAAATTAAGGAACTCTGGAAGGATACATTAGAAATGAACATAGCAGTAACCTTTTGAGTAGGACTGAGGAAGTGTTGGAACAAATTAAGTGGAGGGATCCAAGGTGGGAGGGAGACCTCACTCTGTAGTTTCACACACTTGATGTCTGTTCCATACAACTTGCTCCATACTTTAAAAAATCTACTGCATGGCATACTGTTTGGAAGCTTTAGGAAAAAAGACGGAAATAAAATCCTGGAAGCTGCCAGCAAGGGAGTAATTGTATTTCTACCCAGATCTGCAGCGGTACGAAGGTCTAACACCAGCCCTCTGGGCTTCCTCCGTCCGGGATCTTGCTCCCCAGCGCCAGCAGATGCAGTTCCGGCCATAGGACGAAGACTCTCCACTGGCTCTTCCAGGCCTTACTCACCTTCCCCTCTGGGTAAGAAGAATACGTGCTAGTTGTTTCCCTCCTTTTTCATGATGACACCTGTGACACGACAATCCCTTAGGAGCCCAGCTCTTGGTGGCCTTGAGTCCCAGCTGATAGGGAGCCATGTCCCTCCCTCCAACCCTCCACTGCTCCAGCTCCTTCTTGAGGGTCTGTAAATCCATTCGGAGCACTGTTGGAAATATGATAGTATCCATGGGTCTTATGGATAAAAAGCATCTCTAAACACAAAATCAGATACCCTAGGTTAAAGCATATATATGCCTGCCCTGCTTTGGCGCTCGGATTTAAGAGAGTTACAAGGCAGTGGTATATGTAACTGTGCCAGGCTATGTCCACCAGACGCCCTCCTGCTGCAGAGGGGCAGGGGCGGTAGTTCCTCCTGCCTCTCCTGGTCACCATGTACAGCACCAGGCCGAGCTCGGAAACCACTCCCAGGGCACCCTGGGAGGCCACAGAACAGCAATCCCAACCCAACAGAAAGACCCCAAACCACATTTTCAGGAAAACTGAGAGACAGAGAAAAGGCTCCAACTTGAGAACACACATTGGAGAGGCCAGAGCAACTGAGATTGCAGAGTCTGAGACAGCCAGCCACCCAGCAGAAATGTGGGGGGAGCAGGACAGGGAGGGCCAGTATACACAGACACAGGTACTTCCAGGACGAGGGCTGGCATCCCCTGTCACAGCTGCTGGAGGAAACCGAGAGGGCATGGGGAGACGCCTCAGCAGGAGGGAGAGTGAGAGACTGTGGCAGTGACCAGGGGCCCCAGTCACAGAACAGAGCCCTAGTGACATTTTGTCAAAATGTTACATCACCACTTGCCCTGTTGCAATGGTTTTGAAAGTATTTTTAGTTGAAAAATATTCTTCAAACAAAACCATGGCCCTTCCTCATCCCCTCTGTAACCCTTAGGCTCTCCCGGTTCCAGGGGCAAGGCCCAGCCACACTTAGTCAGTGCCTCTTGTTTTTGGTGAACACGTGTCTCTCATCTGCCGAAGCGCCCTGAAGTCTTCCCCGGCTGTCCCTCTCGTTGGTTTGGCTTCCCAGAGGTAGATGCAGAGAATGTTCCAGAGAGCACCTGGGAAGACCCTGCTGGAGATCAGGGAGGAAGCAGGAGCGGCGGGTGCCCTTCAGACCACCTATCAGCCTGACCCCCAAGGGTGGGGGAGGGAGGAGGAGTGGGCAGGAGTTCTGATGGCAGTGAATCCTGAGAAGATGTCACCCAGGCTGAAGTAGCATCCCCAGGCACCATGCCATCCAGATCTGTGACTCATGCAGTCACAGCTGGCGCAGCATGGGAGCGACCTTGGCAGGAACATCATGGGTAGAGGGCCAGCCGCTGGGCCCAGCAGCTCCATGGGCTGGACCCTTGGGACCAGCTCTTCACATTCTTTGTCATGAAAGCATGCCCTGTGGCATCGAGGGTGTGCCCGGCTCTCTCCCGGGACTCTGCTCTCCAGGCAGGCCCAGTGGGGCTCTACTCTCAGTGAGCCCAGCACCCAGCATGCAGGCCACTTAGCATGCACAAGCTGAACTACATCTTTGCTAATTAAATTCTGTCAGCTGTAATATACAGCCTGTGCACCTGTTGCCTGTTCCATCCTTTACTAGTTCTGAGCTATTTCTCCATCCTTTCCCCTTCTCTCAGTGGGCACCATTCCTGAGCAGTTCCGTCAGTGCTGCTGCGGGCATCTTCAGGGTCACGAATCCAGGAGTAGGAACTCATCAGGTAGGCGCTGTCTGCACAGTGTTCATGGTTTAAGTCCTGAAGTGAGTGAATTCAAGCTAGATTTTTCCAGTCTTAGCAAACCAATAGAATTTATATGAGATATTTTCTTTGCTCTCCTGTCTTGGTCTAATGTCCTCTAGTGCATCATTGCTGATTGGTTGTCTCCTGGGTATATGATTCTTTCATGAAACCAAGTCTTAGGAATTAATGACTTGACTAAATTCTGGTTGTCATACAGACAATGAAAATCACTCTAGAAAATGAAATTTCATTACTTTGATTAAAATTGGTTTTAATAAGAGCTACCAGTTAGCATCATATAAAAAAGAAACGTGGATCTTTATTTGCTTTATTATGTAAAATATGTATGTCTGAAAAGATATGTGTAAATCACACTCTGATAAGTCAAATCTTACATGTGCATTTGAGGAACTAGGCAGTTAAAGAAATGCTCCATTAGTTAGAAAAGAACTCTTTTCTTGGTTTAGTGTTGGAGATTTTGTGTTCCCTTAAAAATAGAGCTCAAATAACTTTCTCCAGATCATAACATTTTGTCACTATTTATTGTGGCAAATGTATATACACATGTGTATACACACATGTATGGCAGAATGTGGGTCTAAAAACTAAAATACCAGATTTAGGATGAGAGTAAGCTAAGAGTGGTCAGCAGCAGGATCTTATATTTACTGGTGTCTGTTTTGGGGAAGATAATGGTTATCAGCCACCAAGAAGGTTTATGTGTCTTTAATGTTGTTGGTGGTGGTTTGGCTTGCAAGAAGCTCCAAGGAATTTGTAACTGGAGCTCTTGGCTTATGGAAGTTAGGTCAGTAGCAGCAGGGTTTGGAGGAGAGTTCCCAGATCATAGCCAACCATTCTTCGAGACCTTGTCCCCTAGTGTCCCCCTGAGAGTCAGGAAGTCTGTTGATGAGTATCTCTTTGTAGAGAAGATGGATATTTTAGGTTTCAAATGAATTTCATGAAACTGACAAATATCCATATGCTTGTTATTTTTAGACAAAAAAATCCAGGAAAAGTATATTATCTTTCTAATTTTCTTGCCAACATTCTTTTCTTGAATAAGGAGTTTTTTTCTAGGTTAGCTTGAGTTTCTTTTAGTTGCCACATGAGAAGAGAGAATAATTTCATTGATAATATACATGTGTGTCTTCACATGAAGAGTAGAAACCATCTTGTTCAGTATAGATTTGTGTTGCCTTCATTAGCTTTAGCCATTTACTCTTTAATTTTCTTTGTTGGTAATTATACATTGCATTAATTGAGTTATGTGCTTGCTGTTGATAAAAACAGCTGATAGACCCACAGTCATTAACTTCTGTCTCCTGGGACACCAACAGCAATGCCCTTGTCACTGTTTTGTAAAGGAGCCAAAAAATTGTGTCTTGCCAGGTAAGCAATTTTTAGAATATCTCATGGAAAACAAGACATTCGTTAGAATTCTCACTTGAGAGGTGTCTTCTTGACTCCCCATTTCTGCTCTGTGCTTGCTCTCTTTGGGTTAACGTTGCTTCTGTCTCTTTGGCAGGTTCTCCCGTGCCGCAGGCCCAGTCACCACAGCCTCTCCTGTTGGGCGCTAGACTGCAGAGCGCTCCCACCCTCACCGACATCTACCAGAACAAGCAGAAGCTCAGAAAACAGCACTCTGACCCCGTGTGCCCATCCCAGGCCGGGGCAGGCTACAGCTGCTCTCCCCAGCCCAGCCGGCCTGGCAGCCTCGGGACCTCCCCCACCAAGCACAGCGGGTCCTCCCCGCGGAGCTCGGACTGGCTCTTCAGAACTCCGTTACCAACCATCATTGGCTCTCCTACTAAGGTGTGTGTACTCAGCCCTCATGTGGGTGTTATGACTTGTCTAAATGAACATTTTTCAACTGGGCACTGGGTCCAGTAGCAGACCACAAGAGAAATTGAAATAGAGAAGTTGATTACTCCCAGGTCCTGAGAGAAGCACCCAGGAGCCACACAGGGAAGTTGAGTCAGAGTGCAGACAAAGACAGGACCTGGGCACATGCCTCTATTAGGTCTGTGAGTAGAGTGCTGTGGGGTTCTGGCGTAAGACTTGATGGGTCATTCCAAACCAAAGAGCAGGGTTCTGGTAAGTTCTATGAGAATCTTGTCTTGAGTGGTGCATAGTGGGAGGGCCCCAGGAAATGGGAAGGTCACCAGGCCTGTCAGGGAAGTCTGATCTGGAACTTACTCACTCTTGACTCTCTGGGCTGCTGTCTAGGGCGTGCGCTTGTACAGGGAGCTAGTGTCAATATAAGGTCCCTGTAGTCGGCTTAGCAGTAGCTTAACTGAGTTCTTAGGAGTAGAAAGCCAGGTCATGAGCTAGTCTAACAGATACTTGTGGAAAGCATTCGGGGGAGAACAACTCCAGTTAATCAGCACCTGCTGTGTGCCAGGCCGAGTGTGAGTCCTGTACTTGCTGCATGCTTTACATTCATTATCCTGTTTACCATGGAGAAAGGAAGCAGGCTTAGCATAAATGAACTGTCAGGGTCTCAGAGACTGGATGTAGAGGAGCCAGATTTGAATCCGAGTTCGCCACAGTCTGGAGTCTCTGCTCCAGCCTCTGCACCGTGAGCCTGGTGACTCTGAATGGAATTAACTCTGTATGTTGGAGTAATTCACTTATGTGTTTTTCTTTAGGCCACGGCTCCTTTCAAAATTCCCAAAACGCAAGCATCTTCCAACCTTCTCGCCTTGGCCACTCGCCATGGGCCTTCCGAGGGGCAGCCGAAAGACGGGAACAACCCAAGGAAATGCACTCACTGTGTCTTGGTTCAAGGAGGGGAGAGGCAGAAGTCCGAGCATCAGGTCAAGGCAGCGTTTGGCAGGTAAACAAGGCCATTTCCTTCCAGCCTCAAACTTCAAGACTGTAGCAGTGCCTCTGTTTCTACCATAAAACAACCAGACCAAACTAGCAGCTGCTCTATGCCAGTGGTTAGTGATATTGTGTACAGTTAGTGACTCTATAAACATAGCATCTCAGAAAACCAAGATGCTTCCTGCACCTGTGTGAATCAGAGCTCATCCTAAGTTTCCTGAGGGGTCTGTTTCTACTTTCTGTTTTTCTGGTTATGAAGTTAATCTGCCTTGAATTGTTTGGTCTCTATTTTTGTCTCCTTGTTCTTTGACTTCCCATAATCCTTTTATGGTGTGGCTTAAGTCACCCTAGTTATTGATATGTCCGGATTTTTTAAAAGTATACATTTACACTATTATTTTTCTTTTTAGGTCCATCAGTACTGGGAAATTATCAGATCAACAAGTAAAAACACCTTTTGGTGGACATCAAGGCAGCACGGACAGTTTAAATACAGAACGACCAATGGATACAGGTAAGAAAAATCTGGTTTCCTTTAGGCATGTAATTTGTTAGTTTCCTCTTGCTGCTGTGACAGATTACCACAAGTATATTAGTTTACGGTTCTCAAGGTCTCACTGGGCTGAAGTTAGGGTGTGGGCAGGGCTGTGTTCACTCTGGGAGCTCTGGGGAGACTGGATTCCTTGCCTTTCCAGCTTCTAGGGATCACCTGCTCCCCTTGGCTTATGGCCCCTTCCATCTGGAAAGCCAGCCATGGCCAGTCTAGACTCAGACCTTCTGCCTGCTTGTTATCCATTTGAAGGCCCCTTGTGATTGCATTGGACCCACTGGATAATCTCTTTAAGGCCAGCTGATTAGCAACCCTAGTTCCATCTGCAACTTTAATTCCTCTTTGCCATGTAATGTAGGTATTTACAGGTTCCGAGGGTCAGGACATGAGCGTCTCTGGCTTGGATGTGGGGATAACATTCTGCCTGTCTACTCCTCTTGACTGTTCATGAACCTGCTGACCCACATCTCTTCATCCAGCCTCTGTCATCTCATCTGATTTCTTAGGAGCCTGCCAAGACAGCGACTTGTGTAGTGTCTGGATGATAAGCAGCCCATGAGTTAGAAGGAGTTCTGACCAAGATTGTTTTTTATCAGTAGGATAACCCTAGCCAAAGTTACCTTAAACACATATGTGTTCTTCAGCATTTCTTATGTAGCAGGCCTGTCCTATAGAGAGCCATGGGTCACTGAGATCCCTGGCTCTTTCAGTTGTCCCAGAGACCTTTATGTCCATGGACCCACACCAAGATTACTTTGGACTGCTTGTCAAAAAAATGAAATCAAAGGTCTGGTTCCATGCCCTAAACCAGACTTGTTCAATTGAGCTTTCTGGAAATGGATTTTAGGAATCTGTGTCTCTAGCAAACTCCCCATGTGATTATTATGCACACTTAAATTTGAGAATCACTGTTGTAACCTTTGTTCTTGTTTTCTCTATAATTCTTTTATTGGCTCTCCCATGAAACTCCAAAGCAGGGAATGTCTAGACCAGTAAATATCTTGAGTGTGGTTTGTGGTTTCTGTACAACAGGACTTCACTTTTCACTCCACTTTCATCTGGCATGGTTTCTAAAGAGAAGTCTGATGTAAGTCTTAACCTTGTTCCTCTGATGTAATTGATGAGATGTTCTCTCCCCGCCACCCCCACCCCACCCCCCAACACACACACAGTTTGGCTTCTTTCAGGAATTTTTCTTTGATTCTCTGCTGTTTGAATATGAAGTGCCTAGGTATAGATTTTTTTTTTTTTTAACCTCTAACCACTTGGTGTTCTTGAGGTTTCCTAGACCTGTGGTTTGATTCTGCATTTGTTTGGGAAACTACTTGGGTCTTTACTATTGATACGTCAGGTATTTGTTTCGTTTCTTTCTTTCTCCATCTGATACTCCTATTGCATGTATGTTATACCTTTGTGGTTGTCCCACGGTTCTTGGACATTCTGGGGGTTTTGTTTTGGTTCTTCTTTCTCTTTGCTTTCCAGTTTTGGAAGTTCCTACTGATGTACCTTCAGGCTAGCTGATTCTCTTCTCCACCATGTCCTGTCCGTTTATGAGCTCATCAGATACATTACTCATTTCTCTTCTCTGCCACATCCTATCTGTTGATGAGGTTGCCTTTTAATTTTTTGTTGAAAGCCAGGCATGATATACTAGATATAAAGAATCAAGTCAAATAGTGTGAGGTCTTTTTTTTCCTTTTTTTTTTTTTTTTTTGCCATGAGTGAGGGTGTGTGTAGGGTTTGCTGTAGCTGTAGGTAGCAGGGTAAACTTTTCTCTTGTGTCTTTGCTTTTGTCTTCCTTTTCTTGGAGTCTCCCTAGATACTTCTATCTCATGCTTAACTCTGCATTTTCTTCTAAGAAACTATAAGCTATAAGACAGCTTAGCTCTTACGTTTCTCCACATCCTCAACATTTGTTATTTGTGGTTTTTTGAGGATGGCCGTCCTGACAGGTATGAGGTGGTGTCTCACTGTGGTTTTTACTTGCATTTCGCTGATGATTAGTGGTGTTGAACATCTTTTCATGTACCTATTGACCATATTTTTTTGAAAAGTAACTTCTCAGATCCTCTGCCCATTATTTAATCAGGTTTTTTCCCTCACATTTTTATTTCCAGTTCTTAGTTTCCACATTTTCAAATTATTCTCAGCTGTGACTGCAGTTCACACATTTTAGAAGTGCACAGAAAACTGACTTCTAGGCTTTGGTGAAAGGAAGATTCACAGCTGTGAAGAGATTACTGTAAAATATTTTTCATGGAGCTCTAAATTGAATTCTCTGTTTTTAAGAGTAATAAGTGCTTATTGTAAAAAAACAAAAATCTCATGTAACAGTGAAGTCTCTCTGTGACCCCGCCCTCTGGAATGTAACACGCGTGGTGGACTTCTCTCAGCCCCTGCAGGAGCCTGTGGTGTGGCCCTGGCCCCTCCTGTAGGAGCAGCAGCCAGCCCCAGGGCCGTGGTGTTCACGGTGGGGTCTCCCCCACACAGGGCCGCAGCCACCACGCGTGCCCCCGTGGGCCTTCGGATAAGAACCGCCTCAGGTGAGGGTTGACTTAGTTCTGCCTTGGGCTCTTGTTTGGGGTTCAAGTTCTGAAAATGCCTTCATGGTGTGATATAATTTCCAGTGACGTGGAGACAATAATCTTCTTTACCTTAAAGGGTTATAAAAAGTAAATGAGGGGACTTCCCTGGTGGCCCAGTGGTTCAAACTCCACCTTCCACTCCAGAGAGCACCGGTTCCATCCCTGTTCAGGGACCTAAGGTCCCTCAAACTACGCAGGGCGGCTGAAGAAAAGAGAGAAAGAAAATAACAGTTTATACCTAATAACTAAGCCAACATTTAAATAGTATAACCCAGTGCTGTGGAGGCTTAATGGGAACTGTGTGCTCACTTTTGGCTGCTTTAGAAAACAGCATGATGAGTCTTAGAGCTGTGTGGTAACTGCATTCTGTTTATAAGACCACTCACAGCAAAACGGCCTTATTAAGTATTTATCACACATAAATAACTCACAAGAAGGCAAGATCTCATCACAATGTTGTTCGTGGTATTAGAAAACAGAACTGGTCTAAGTGCCTCCAGACCGGCACTTGGGTAGAGTTTTAGTGATGTACCACCTATGGCTGAGTTTTCTCACCTGAGGACTGTGGCATAGCAGGGGAGAAAGGCGTATGCTAGAGTTTGTCTAAAACAATTTAAAAGCAGCTGTGATGAGTCTGTGAAGGATGCCTACAGCTGAGGAATGAAGGTGAGCATGGGAAGATAGAGCCTGTTCTTGGGCTGGGGTGGGAGGAGGGTTTCTTTTACAGGTTGCCATCCTGCCTGGTGATCACTGGGCGCTAATCACTGAGTGCTGTCCATGTCCTCTCTCCACAGGGGGCTCTAGCGGCTCCGGGGGCTCTCTGTGCTCCATCGGTGGCCATGTGTGTGGGGGTTCCCCACCTGGGCTGTGCTCAGGGTCTCCCCCTCCGGGAGCAGAAGCGGCCCCCAGCCTGAGACATGTGCCTTGTGGTGCTTCACCCCCCAGCCTGGAGGGTCTCGTAACCTTTGAAGCCCCCGAACTGCCAGAGGAAACGCTGATGGAGGTGGGAAGAGACCCTACAATGTGTCCTTTCAGGCTACAGTGAGGAGAGAATTGATGATGAGAGGGCAAAGTCCGAGAGCAAGTCCCAGTGGTTCTCCCCGTGACCTTTTCTGTCTGAAACCTTGGTGGTGTGTTTTTAGAATTATGTTGACAGTGACACTCATTCACAATGAGCTTTGGTTCACAGGAAGTGACACATACAGATTTTGTATTCTTAATTCTTTTATCTAAAGTTAATTTACTACTTATGGTGATGGTGCTTTAGTCGCTAAGTTGTGTCTGACTCTTGCAAACCCATGGACTGTAGCCCGCTGGGTGCCTCTGTCCATGGGATTCTCCAGGCCAGAATACTGGAGTGGGTTGCCACTCCCTTCTCCAGGAGATCTTCCCAACTCAGGGATTGAACCTGGGTCTCCTGCCTTGCAGGCAGATTCTTTACTGACTGAGCTATGAGGGAAGCCCTTTTACTTATAGGACTTTTAAAACATAATCTTTTCCCTAAAGCCATAACTTTTTATTCTCAAAGCTTACCTTACCTTACAAGATAAAAATGATACGCTTAAACTTAAGTTTTGAAAAAGTAAATTATAATGCCAACTGAGTCAGTAACGCTGAGAAATACAGCTTCCCAGCAGATTGGATAGTCACGTCCCTCCACGGAGTGGGTTCTCCAGGGAAAAACATGTCATAATGTGCAGCGTACTGAGCACACATCCAGAACAGAGGTTAATGTTACGATTCCAAAGCCTGTGCCAGCTAACTCCTCAGCATCGACTCTAGGCCATCTTCCCGTGGACTGCATCTGACCTCAGTCAGTGCAGATCACCCTGCACTTCAGATTAAACTGACCCATTCTCCAGACCATCGAAGGCACTAAGTGTCTGTGCTGGACCCTTAGGATTTCTGTTGTGTGTGGAGGAAAATTAAGTATCTCACGTAAAAGTTATAAAATATTGCATGCAAAATTTTAGTAGTGATTCTGTGGTAAGTTTAAGCTGTAATTTTGAAAATATGTATAATGTAAATTATGTTCTAGTAAGTCCAATCTGCTGTTGCAGAGCAGGGAGATTCTCAAAAGTTGGTTCGTTTATTCTCCTGTCTCAAGGACGCTGGTTTTCATCCCTTTTAACCATGGAAGTAGAGTGAGAAACTTAGTTTTATTTGGGATTTCAAAATACATTGCTAGCTAAAAACAAATCTCAAAACAGCATTAATTTTAGAATACCAATTTTTAATGCATTGCTATTATGTCTGTCTGTACTTCACTTTAACTAACTGAAAAGATCATGAAATTTAAAAGCTTTATTATTAGGAACCACTGTTAACTGAGGAACCACCAGAAATTTAAATAAAGTATCTCTGAAATTTTAAGCCAGTAGAATTCATGAAACTATCGAGAAGTGTAGTCTCATGTCCAGAATATGCTGAAGTTCTTATATCTCAGTATCTATTTGGTCATGTTTCTGTCTCATGTACATTGATTTAGTTCTGTGTTTCATTTTTTCCTGTGAAAGCACAATGGCCTCATATCTTTGAGGCTGAATGTTGTGGTTGCTCTCATGCATGCCACAAAAACACATGACACACCTTTGATTTCATTTGTGTTTATCTTCTCACTAGTTTTCTGGAATTTAGAAATTTCAGCCTCCTTTGATCATTCTGATATTGATACATATAGAAAAATATTAGCAGTGGCCATGGTTGGTATACAGAAATGAGTATGCACCTCCTTAACCTTCAAGTTTCTAAGACAAGTTGGCTTTGCCTTAGCAAGAACATGCAGACACCTTACGCCACCTGAACTCAATGCTGCTGTTCACGGAGTGTGTGCTGGACCTGACAGCTATGCGCGGGGGGAGCCCGGAGCTCTGCGCATCGGCCGTCTCCGTGTACCAGATCCAGGAGAGTGCGGTGGTGGACCAGATCAGCCAGCTGAGCAAGGACTGGGGGTAGGTGCCCCCTGCTGTCCACCTCCTCCCTTCCTGCCCTCCATGCACTGGTGTCCATGCTGTAGGCCCCGCCACCCACTGCAGGTCATGTCCAGTTAGCAAAAATGTCAAGGAGTCTCTGAGTTATTTCAGTGCTCAATTTTGCTCTGTGAGCCAAGACTGGAGGTTCTGCAGCCTTGATTTTAAAGATACTTGATTATAAAGAGATCGTACTCTTATCGGAGTGTGCCCCTAATGTTAAAAGTACACTTTTTTCCACGCCGACCCTTCTTTCAGGAGTCCTTTGTGCACTAAGAGTGTCAAGGTGGGTTGAGATGGGGTCTGGCCTGTTGGTTCATAGGCTAACACTGTGCTTGCTGTTTCTGGGCCAGGCGAGTAGAGCAGCTCGTGTTGCACATGAAAGCTGCACAACTCCTAGCAGCCTCTCTGCATCTCGCCAAAGAGCAGATCAAATCCGGGAAGCTGAGCCCGTCCTCGGGTGTGAAGCAAGGTAGGCTGGGGCATGATGAGCTCCTGGGGGCCCAGCAGTCCTCTCCCCTTGCACTGAGAAAGGGGTTTTTGATGAGGGATCACTGTGTTATTAAGTATTCTTCAATGGGAAAAGATGCTGGCTCCTCTGTTTTTAATATAGAGCAGTCAGGTGCTTTGTTGTCAATCCTCTCTTAACTGAGAGGACATAGGAAAGAATGATTTCCAGGAACTTTTCTTAGTGATCATTTTTTGTCGCTTTCCTTAAGTTAGCAGGAATGTTGCATGTCACCATGACTCTGTTTCTGAAAAAAAAAACTGAATTGTTATTTCAACTTTTTTCCAGTTGTCAAAAATCTGAATGAACGATATAAATTCTGCATTAGCATGTGCAAGAAATTGACAGAAAAGCTGAATCGCTTCTTCTCTGACAAACAGAGATTTATTGATGAAATCAACAGCGTAACTGCAGAGAAACTCATCTATAACTGTGCTGTAGAAATGGTAACCCTTTTAAAAGTGTAATATTGTACAGTAATAGTTGTGGTGTTTAAGAGCATCTTTTTTTTTTCCATTTATTTTTATTAGTTGGAGGCTAATTACTTTACAGTATTGTAGTGGTTTTTGCCATACATTGACATGAATCAGCCATGGATTTACATGTATTCCCCATGCCGATCCCCCCTCCCACCTCCCTTTCCATCCCATCCCTCTGGGTCTTCCCAGTGCACCAGCCCTGAGCACTTGTCTCATGCATCCAACCTGGGCTGGTGACCTGTTTCACCCTTGATAGTTCAATGCTGTTCTCTCTGAACATCCCACCCTCGCCTTCTCCAACAGAGTCTAAAAGTCTGTTCTGTACATCTGTGTCTCTTTTTCTGTTTTGCATATAGGGTTATCATTACCATCTTTTTAAATTCCATATATATGTGTTAGTATACCATATTGGTATTTATCTTTCTGGCTTACTTCACTCTGTATAATGGGCTCCAGTTTCATGCATCTCATTAGAACTGATTCAAATGAATTCTTTTTAATGGCTGAATGATATTCCATAGTGTATATGTACCACAGCTTCCTTGTCCATTCTAAGAGCATCTTTTGAATTGCATACCTGCTTGACATCATCCTTTTAAACAGAGTTAAAGCCCCACCACTCCCATGTCCCAGGTGTCATGGTACCTCTTCCTGAAGGAGTATTTGGACTGAATTAACATGCAGCAAAGAGAAGGCAATGGCACCCCACTCCAGTACTCTTGCCTGGAGAATCCCAGGGATGGGAGCCTGGTGGGCTGCCGTCTATGGGGGTCACACAGAGTTGGACATGACTGACGTGACTTAGCAGTAGCAGCAACATGCAGCAACCAAGCTGTGTTGGTTACCACATTTGGTATTAATAAAAGTTTACCATACCACTTAAAAATTGCTAACATTAGGCATGACCTAATCTTTTGATAGTTTGTATCTAAAAGCTTTTGCTGGATCTGTTTCTTCATTTCCCATTGTTTAAGAAATTTGGCTTAAAATGTTAGAAAAAAATTCTGCTCTTTTACCCTATCTGCAGAAATTCATGTGCTCAGATTCCACGACTGACCTCAGTATAGACAAGAAGTTTAACCTACTTTGCCAAATATCTGGTTATATTTATAGAAATAATTTTTTTTCTGTATCTTAAGCATGAAATTAGGAGCTGTTAAAGAAGTAATTCAGTGGGGAAGAATTTAATTATTGACCAACCTTATGATTTTTACCATACTAACACAATTGACCTTCCTTCTTGGCCCCAGATTTACCTGAACTCTGAAATTGTACTGTTATATTACCCCCTTGGCATTTTTTTGAAAGCCATCATAATAAAAAGTCATATGAAAATAATTTTGGAATATAAGCTATTGATGAGAATAATATATATTGTATTACTATAAACTGGACATGAATAATATTATGCACTGTATTGTTTTGTACCAGATTAAGACTTCGTAGGACAGATTTTCTCTTAAAATTTGTGCCAGGACTGATGTCCTGTCGTGAGGAGTGACAGTGCTGCTGTCTCTGCTGATGACAGGGCCACATGCCTCCAACAAATCTCTCCTGGGCCCTGGCTGCCGAGCAGCATGGGGGCACTCACCTTACACGTAGTTCTTTCTTTCTCCTTCTGTTTCAGGACTTTGATTTTCCATATCCATTTTATTTATCTTATTGTAAGTGGCTTTACTTTTTGAAAGAGCATACTGACAGGTAAATTAGCACACTGGATCCCTCACAGACTCAGAGATGAATGATTAAAGAGAAAATTAGGATGCTGTTGGGAAAACAAAATGCTCATAACCCTGTGAATGACACTGGGAAGGCCCTGGCCTCCTCTCCCACTGCCCAGCTCACACCTGCTTCTCTTGACTCGGCCTCAGTGTCACTTCCTGGAGGCTCTCCTCACCTTCCCCTCCCCGATAGCCTGGTTAGGTGCCCCTTGAGCGTAGTCCACTGGGTACCATCCAGGGCTTCCTCCTGTGATATTGTGTGGCCCTTGGAGCACAGCCCATACCTTACCTGGACTATGAGCTCGCCTTCATCGTATGCCCACTGCCCCGTAAATTCAAGAGGTGCCCAATAAATGTCTCTGAGTGAATAAATCCCACACACCAGGAGGTCCTTTAACTGAAGGAAGCAGCTGATAAATGGCTTTTAACATCATTTAATTATTTCATTGTAACAAAATCTGCTTTAATGAAATGCCAGGTTACTAGTATGGAAGTATATATTTAAAGTAAACTTTTTATTGAAGTCAGAGATGAGTCAGTTTAGAAGTATTAAACCTTAGGAGTTTTGAGTCTCTGAGTTCAAGAAGGTTATGTTTGAATGCAGTTAGTAACTCTTTTGTCAAGAAGCTTTTCCTTTATATCACTCACCCAGTAAGTTACATCATTTTGTCAGAAGGTATTAATTTTAGAGAGATTCCATTTAAAGCTGCATTGTGCACATGGATTCATATTTTCTTGGAAAAGCTGAGAACCTTCTTGTCTTTGTTCACTGGTTCCAGGTTCAAGCCGCAGCCTTGGATGAAATGTTTCAGCAGACTGAAGATATTGTTTATCGCTATCATAAGGCAGCCCTTCTTCTGGAGGGCTTAACTAAGATTCTTCAGGACCCGGCAGACATTGAAAACATCCACAGATGTGAGTTGACTTGGAAAGCAGTGTGTTTGCTGATTGCATCTCCTTGTCTTCTCCTGGAGCAGCAGGAAGACCTTGGGGTGTGCAGTGCCCTGCCCAAGGGTGTTGCATCTTGGTTTCCCAACCTTGGGCTAGTCACATCCCCCTTCCGTGGCCTCAGTTTTTTCTTCTGTGAGATGAGGGACAAGGCCTGCCTTGCAGAGCTGTTGTAAGGAGTAGATACAAGGCTTGTGAAGAGCAGATGAGGTGGTGGGCCTCTTGGAGGAGGTGTGGTCATCCACATTCTGAAGAGCAGCCAGGGGCTGGCAGTTCTATACTTATTGCAGTTGTGAGCAAACTAGCTGTTAAAATCTACATGTTCTTCGTTTGACTTGCTAATCTAGCTTTTACACCGCGCAGCACTAAGCTAGACAGTTAACATGCAGAAAGAAGAAAAAGCACTAGAACTGTTAACTTTGGGGCAAAGATAGAACAGAAGTGAGGGTGGAAGTGGAGAGAGAGATTTTTCTCAGTGGTGATTCTTTGCTCGGTTTTGAAATATTAATGGTATTTATCATGGATTTATTTTATTTCTAGATAAATCTAGTATTGAAAGAAGATTGTCAGCACTCTGCTATAGCACCTCAGCCTTGTGAGCAGCAGCAGGCCTGCCCCCGGGACCAGCGGTGGGTGTCAGGTGATGCCGTTGGGAGCACAGCTTGGGTCCTGTCGGTCCACTCTTACATGGTGACTACCAAAGAGCACGCAGTGGTTTCACAAAGGAAAACCAATCCCAGAACTACATATTGTAGGAGGTCTTCCTTATCAGAGAAGTCACCCCTTCCCTTTCTCTTTATAGAAGCAGATGCAAAAGTGTTCCACTGGGCTTTCGGTTTGATTTTGGTAAATAAATGTACCTTAGAACTAGAATCACCAGTATGGTTACTGTTAAGGAGAGTTAGCATTAAGTGATGAGTGGCTCTTTGTACTAGCCACCAGAGCACAGTGTGGGACTCCTTGTATTCACCAAGGAGTGGAAATAAAAAGCCCCATCTCCTCCGGCAGTTCAGTTCTCGGGGTGAGTTTGTCTGAGTCTGAGCACGCACCCATAAACAGCTCAGGAAGAAATAACTTAAGAAGGAGTGAAAGATGACTCTTGGAAGATATTGTGAAATCTTCAATTTGAGCTAACGTGGACATATATTAATAATCTTCCAAAATCTTTCATATTGCACTAATTTATTAAAACAACTGTATTGGATTTTGCAATTTAAAGCTAACTGAGGCACAATGGACTTGTTTAAAGTATTTTACTTGATTATATATGCGTACCCTTTCCAGAATTCACATGTAATCTCTTGTGGACTTTTCAGTGGTAAAGACTTGTGTTTTATGAGCCTCTGCATTTTCTTAACCTATTCATCTACGCCTATAGGTTTTCTCTCGCTGATTTTTTTAAGTTGCTGGTTGTCTGCTTTAGTTTGCATTTTTTACTCTGCATGCATAATGTGTATTCATGCCTGTGACCGCTAGGTTTATTCGGGCAGCATTAGAACAAGTGGCAGGCCAGAGATACACTCAAGAATTGCGGTAGGGCCAAAACAGAGCTGGTGACCTCTAGGCTTTTTAGTGATGTGGAGTTTTACATGAAGTCAGTGAAAAATGAGGTTTGTTTTCTCTTAGGATAAGGGGCGGCTCTCTCCAGCCTGCGTGCATTTTCCTGTTAATCCTGGCAGTCCACCAGGGAGCTAGTCACGGAGAATGTGGGCCCTTAACGTCCCTCCAGAAACGGTGCCCACGTGGTCGATGATTTGGTTTCTTTGACTTACGTGCTTGGATACTTGAACAAACCATTCTCCAGTTTTAATCCTTTAGATGATGTCATCTGAACTTGGACAAATTGCACAGAAGCTCTTTGGCATTAATCTAATTTAGTGTACTGATAAAAACAAAAAGGTTTTCCTTTACTTTGACGAAGTAATGTAATTTTTACCTTATTTATCTGTATAAAATCCCAGCAGTTAATTTGAACATTTATTTATATGATGTTTGTATTTTTAGGTCTTTAATACAGTGTTTCTACCTCTCATTTGTAACTGCATGCATTACCCATGAAACTAGATAAAACTCACTGAATTGTGTAATAGCCTTTTTATTATTGCCTGTACAGATGTATACTAAGATAAATAAAACTGACCAGGTGTTTCTAGGACAAGGCTGGGTCCCTGTGACGTGGCTTGTCAGACCAACTCCTTCCTCAGTGAGTTTGGAGGCTGGGTGGTTAACGCACATTGCCCCAGGACTTCAGGTTGTGGTGACAGTCCTGCAGGCTATGGGAGGAGGGCTGTGCTGGGGTTCCCCCCTCCCCCAGCAGGGTGACAAGCACCATTACCGGTGATGGTCTAGTTTGTACCACTGTTTTGAGTGTAAAGGGCAGTTTCTTGTATGTTCTCTCAGTTACCACATGGGTCATCTCAGTTGATCCTCCAAAGGGGGTGGGTGCATTCTGGCCCCTCCTCCCCTTTCCCATTTGTTTTAAACACAGGATGGAATGAGTTCACAGTGAGGAAATGGCTTGGTCTGCCGTCAGTACCTAGGGAGTGGTCTCCAAGTGCATTCTTCTTCTTGTGCGAGAAAGGTCAGGTGGTATGTGGTGTATGTGTGAAACCCTGCGGTCTGAACAGCAGAAAACAAACTGTAAATGCAGGAATAATGATTCTGATTATATTTCCATTATCAAGGCCAGTTGATTTAAGAGATTTTGCCTTGATTATAGCAATAATAAACAAATGCTTTATGTTTCCATGTGTATCTTTTGATTTTTCTATCATCTCTTTCATGAAATGGAAATGGACCAGTCCATACATTCATGGATTGACATCTGGAAAGTTATGGACCGTACAAATGCAGGTAGAGGGGTAATCTGTGAATGTGCTAGCTGGCTGTTCCTGTTGTAAGGATTTGCCTTAACTGGGCCTGCGCTGGGCCTGAAGGATGATGCCCACACCTCCTTCTCCTGAAGAGGAAGAGCCAGAGTGCCCTTCTGTCGTTCCGCCCTCCTGGGGTGGAGGAGAGGAGGCTGGAGACAAGGTTACTGTTTGGGCTGGGTGGGCTCAGTCCCCACAGGTAACAGGAGGGGAGTCAAGCTGGACACCATGAACGTGAAGTTGTTACTTGGCTTTAGAAAGCCCGTGAGGTGATGGAAGGACTTGTGCATGGGCCTTGGAGGAAGTCTTGCTGCTCCCGCCATAGCCTCTGCAAGCAGTCACCTGTTCTCACTGGGGCTGAGCAAACTTGTGTTGTTCCAGAAGGATGCCTGCTGCTGGAGAGCTTGGCATCTTCTCTCCCTGACAGGCACCACCTGGAAGTATCGTGTCTGCTTTGCACTCCAGGAGTTGACTATAGCTGTGCCCTGAGCCCCGAGTCTGCAGCCGTGGAGGCTCCTGAGTGCTGCCTGAGTCTCCTTGTTTGTCCCAGCCCTGGCTGGAACACCGTCTGTGGGCAAGGGGTCAGGATGGCTGGGTCCTCACCCAAACAGGAGACACATCACAGTGGCCCACCTGGAAGAGCACCCACCACGGGAAATGACCGTAAAGTCTCAGCCTCTGTGGACAAGGCAGAGCCAAACAGGTAAAGGGTCATGGTAGGCCAGTACCCAGACCGTTCTGGAGGAAGGGGCCAAGACTTCAGGTCCCCTTCACCAGGGCCTGGTCGGCCGGTTAGTGATGTGCCATGTAAACCTTTGTCGTGGCTGTTCAGTGTGTCCTTTTTGAAGAGCCTCTGGAGTCGATCTGGGTGGAGGTCTCCGAGCCCCGGGCTTCCTTTCATCCTCCCACTCCCAGGCTGTTGTGTCTTGGCTGTTCTCTGCCTCCTTGGGTGCAACTCTCTTGGTCTCGGACTCCCTCGTGCAGCGGTGGCCCCTTGACACATTCTTTCCTTGCCTCTCCCTTCCAGCAATCTCCAGTCTGGAGGCTTCTGTGAGTGGCGGGATAAAAAGTCCCTGGTACAGACTGGCTGAGGGTCCCAGTCTCTGGGCTCAGATAGGGGGCTGGATCTGAACCAGGGAGGGGGACTCTGAGGGAGGCTGAGGCTGGGGATGCTTCTCCAGTCACAGGCTGTCTCCTCATCACGTCTGGTGTTCAGAGATATGAGTCATCTGTGGACTCCGGACACTGAAGATATGGAATAAAATCTCATTTCTCAGACCAGCTAACCTTGAGCACATGTCAACATTTAAGAGGTTGCTCACAGAGGAGCCAGCTTGTGTCCAGAGCATGTCAGTCCAGAGAGGATATGAAAACTGGGGGATTCTTGGGAACAGATGCTTGTTACGTAAGGGGCTTGTTTACTTCCACATGGGTCCCAGCTTCCTTCCACATGGTCATGAACACATCTTCTGCTCTGCAATGTCCTGTCCAGGAGGCTGGACAGGACACCCCGTTTTGCCCACTTGCTCCGTTCAGGACTGAATGGCCACTTCGGCAACTCCTCAGCCCTGCTGCTGAGCTGTGGAAAGCAACCAGACGACACACCTGAAATTTGAGTATCGCATAACTTCCACATGTCACAAAATGTCTCTTTTTTAAAAAATATCCACTTTAAATGTAAGAACCAGTCTTAATCTGCAGGCTGTTGTGTGTGTTCCCCGTGGCCAGGTGAACCGCAGAAGAGCCAGGCGTTGAGGTGCACATGGTGGCAGAGACAGGCCCCCGGTGACGTGTGCTCCCCACCATCCATGTGTCAGTTAACACGGATGTGGACGGTCTACCTCTGGGTCAGCAGGACAGCCCTGGTAACGATTCTGACCTTAAACATTTCATTGGACGGTTAGTGAATACATAGGATGCCAAGTTTGCGCGATTATTAGTTTTGGAGCATCTGGAGACACTTGCCTTTTTGGTCCTTTGACAAGTGAGGCTCCTTTCAGTCGTGCTGTGTGGCCTTGGGCATATCCCTTGCCTTCTTGCAGCTCTGCTTTTCCATCCAGTGAAGAAGATCACAGGGGCACATACTCATATGGTCCTGGTGGGGAAAATACCTGCGAACAGGGAGGGGCAGAGAGCCTGAGGAAAACCTAGGAGCAGGGGCTTACAGGGCTATGCAAGAACCTGTTCAGCCCTGCTCCCTTCTGAGAGGAGCAGGGAGTCAAGTCCTGGGCCCCCTTCCTCCAGAGAAACCACCCCAAAGACCCCTGGGCCCCTCCAGGGGCTGGTGAGACCAGCCTTTCTCTTGAGAGTAGTGGGGCATGGGGTCCCAAAGGAGAGATAAAAGAGTCTCCAGGGGAAAGGCTGCTCCAGGTCTCCCCCTGACTTCTGCCTCCAGGAGCCTTCATGTTCCTGTGTTGAGGATGGCCCTAAGGGGCTTCCGTGGGTGAGAATGGCCAGGCCTCCAGCCAACAGGGTGCAGAAGGAACAACCCTGAGTTGCTGTACGCTTGGATTTGGGGGTGACGCCCTGGAGTTGAGGGAGGCAGGGTCTTTGTGAGGCAGGGTCTAGGGGAGGCATCACCTCTTCTGTGAGGGCTGTCCTAGGCCAGAGGCTGATGGATAAATTTCAAGAAACTGCAATGTTCAACTTCAAAGTTGGTCTCTTCCTACCTAAAGCACCTGCCATGCTGGGACTGCAGCAATGAGAGGCTTGACTGCTCTCACGGGGTGTACCTTTCGGACAAGACTGACAGCCACATGGCGAGTGCAATGAATGCCATGAAAGAGAGATGGACCGTGTCATTGCTGTGAGTGGGCTCATGGTGGGGGTGATGAGGCCAAAGTCAGGAAAAGATGAGTGGCTGTTGCCCAGGTTAAGGAAGGAGGGGGGTTGTTCTGAGAGCAGGATTGGCCTGTGCAAAGGCCCTGTGGCAGGGAAACCTGCCTCAATGGAGGCAGTGACAAGACAGCAGTCCTCTGTCCCGGCACCATGTGCTTTTTGTAGCACAGTAACCAGTTTCTGAAATTACCCTGTTTATGCTTTTACTTGCTGTTCTGCTCACCTCGCTGAAGTGTCATCTCTCTCAAGCCAAGAATCTGTCTTGTTAATAATGCGCCTAGTTCCTAGGACATTTCTTGGCAAAGAGCAGGTGCTCAAAACATATTTGTGGAAAATGATGGTGGCATTTATGATTTTGGTGGTGGTGGTGATGGCGGTGGTGGTGAGGATGATGCTGGTGGGGATGTGGGGATGGTGGTGGTGGTGTTTCTGTTGGTGGTGGTTACGGTAGTGACAGTGGCGACATCCATGTTCCAGGCAGATAGACACTGTGTGTGATCCTGTGTCGTCACACGTCCAGGAACTTCTATGTGAGCATGTATAGATCTCACAGGGTCTGGGAGGGGACTGAAGATGCTTGCTGACTCTCATGGTGGTCAGTGCCCACATCAGGATCTGCCTCAGGCAGGTTCCCTGGAGTCCATGCCCTGACACGCCCCCACAAGATGCAGATACAGCAACGACTCTGCTTGTGTACAGGGGCTCTTTTTATGCACGTCTGTGCACACGTGAGCACGTCCATCCTGTGACAAACACAGGCTCTCGTCACCAGCCCTGCCTGACCAGAGGTCAGCGCTTTGGGTCAAAGTGTGCAGCTTGGAAGGCTAGGGAGCCTCCCTCAGAGCCATGGGAAGGTTTGACACAGGCGGGTGGCCTGATTGCATTGGCAGCTGGGAGAAAAGATGGGAAGCGGCATAAGTGGACGCAGGGACACTCCCTGAAATGTCTTCAGAGGAGAAAGTGCCTGGTTTCTAGAGACAGGGAGGAGCTAAAACCCATGTGACTTGGAGATGAACAGGATGGGGGTGTATCCAGGAGGGTTCTCTGTTGCTAGGAATTGTGTATGAGTTTGTTTTTGCTGGGTAACAAAACCACTTCAAGAACAGTAGCTTCACGCAGTGAACACAACCTGATTCTCACCATTCTGTGGTCCAACTAAATGGCTCTGGTTGGCTCAGCATGGCTGGTGTTCAGTGGCCTGGGAGCCCTCACCTGTGCTCATGGGTTTGCTTGACGTTCTGCTGTCGACTGCTGGCCCAACCCCATCCAGGAGTGCCCGGTGTCAGAGGACGAGCCCTGGACATTCACTCCTCAGTCCTGCAGACTAGGATCTGTCAGTGTCCCGTTGGCCGGGTCCAGGGTCAGCATGGGAAGTAGAGTCCACCTCAGGGGGAGCACAGCCCTGTGCTCCCGGGGGGTGGGGGCAGAGTCCTTGCAGCCGCCGTGCATGGAGAGGAATCCAGCTGGTTTAAGCAGGATGGAGTTGGTAAAACACGAATTATTTGTAAGAAGAATCTTGGGGAGGCCTGGGAACAGGATCAGGGCTTAGGACATGCAGGATGGATGTCATCGCACCGCTGTGACCCTCGTTCACTGCTGGTCTGGGGGCTTGATCCTGTGGTGACTCCACCTGGTGTGCAGAGAAGACCCGGGGCCACTTTGTGCCTCCTGGGTCACATGAAAGACCCTGTTTGCAAGGCAGGCAGAGCTCGGGCCCAGTCATCGCCTTTGCATGGATTGGAGAGGTCTAGGGTAAGGATCTACACAGGAATATGGGTGGTGTCCTGAGGGGCCAGGGCCTAGAAGAAGGGAGACCTGGAAATCCAATGTGAGGAGGTCTGGGGGTGGACCATGCCCATGACCTAGGGAGCAGGCACACAGTGTTGCGTTTCATGTCAGTGGCCACCAGGGGGAGCGCCAGGCAAACCAGGTCGCAGATGACTCATCCAGAGGTGGACCAGCCTCATTTCCAGACCCTGGTGCTGGCCTTGCGCCAGAAGCCACAACCAGCGGCCCAAGTGCCCAGCGTGCAGCAGCC